TTGGTTCATATTTCATATTTGGTTGTTATTTTGTTACCAGCATGGGAACCCGATTAACTAAACTAAACCGATTAGCAACTAAAGATAGTGTTAACGACACGGGTAGAAAATTTAAGGTACGAGCCTTGGCGAGTGCCTTAAAAACTTCTACGAGTGTCGTTAACACTATTTACGCGAGTTGCGTACACTACTTTACCTACGATTGTGTTTTAATTACTAAAAATCACTACTCATAACTTCTAAGAGAGGTTAAGTTTTTGTTTATAACTCTAATTGCCACTGACAGTGATGCAACGAAACATTGTATCAAATACTAATTGCACCAATCAACAATTAAATTGGCCTGGACAGCTGATAAGTTGAATTTCGAATCATTACAATTTTGCTTCTCCTCTCTCAATCCTAGAACCTCATTGGTCCGTTACCCGTGTTGTTATGAGTAAAACTGCTGTTATGAAAGTAAACAATGCTGTTATGAGATACTTTTCAATTCTAAGAACTGTACTGAAACGGCTACTTTAAAAAACGGTCGTAGGTAAAATTTATAACATAATCCTAAAATGCTGGTGTACCAACGTTTCATCAAAATCGGCTGTTTTTTATAACCTATTGGTGCCGTTGACCAATACAAATAGGTTAGTAAAATATTAGACAATTCATTAACTGTTTTTTATTTTAAAAACTTTGCTTTAACTCCGAGAGGCCTTTTCTTATGTCGCTTCAGCAAAACGCTATCGCCCTTTCTTCTTTCTCTTTTCTTCTAACATTTCCCACTGTCTTTCTCTTGTGCTATTTACAATAAGAATTAGTATATGTAGACTGTAAGCTTTCATTTAAAAATTTAAATTCAAACTGTTTACTAAATTTACCAAGTTCTTTCTGTCTTTCTCTTTCTCTAATGCCCTGCTTCGTCATAGTATTAACATTTATTTTATGGAGAAACTTTGAATGGGATTTTAAATATGTCATAGTGTATTTTTTACGATATTTAAAAGCTTTAAAAGCTGCAAATATATTAGCAATATTTTTTAACATTAATATCTGATAGTGAGCTGTTTTATTTGTTTCCATAAATTTTGTTTATTTAATTTAAGCACATATTCGTACTTAACACGAATACTAGAAATATTTTCTAGTATTCGTGGTACTTACAATGCGAACTACTGGTCTTATCACGAACTATTGTTTTCTTTCCTCTATAATAATTAACTGTTTTTATTCATTCTTATACACTCACATGCAATAGTAAAAGTAAACAGTTTATGTATAAAATAATTGTCCGGCTAAATATAAAATCATATATTATATGATACAGACAATTGGAAAAATAACATAAATCATAATATTAAATGCTCGTAAATTTTCCAGTATTTGTAAATTGAGTTATAAACAGTATTTGTAACAGTTGTTGTTTCTTTGTTACCCTAATTTTACTTGTATATTGACTATTGTATAAATAGGATAACCTTTCCTAATCAAATACATTATGTGCTTTTGTTATAGTTATCAATTGTTTTTTGTGTTTTAACATTTGTTTTACTAATCTCAGTAAAATAACTAACCCAGAATATTAACTTATTAAATTTTTGCTTAAACTGAACAAAACATGAAACTTCCTGTGGGTAACAAACTAATGGGTTACTGTTATTGTTATTGTAACTAATTGTGTCATTGTTGTTGGTGTTGTTGCTGTTGTTGTCGCTTGTTCTAGATGTCGGCTTGGCTTGGGAGGCTGTGAGGGAATGGGCGACGCGACGACTTCGACCCCGCGAGTGGCTACCTGGGCTGGCAAACGGCGCCCCTACACTGTGAAACACACACAAACATGAAACATACGGAAACACAAACAACAACGGACACTGTGAAACACACACAAACATGACACATACGGAAACACAAACAACAACGGACACTGTGAAACACAAAAAATAACTACACTCTAAAAAACAAACAACAACATTGTGAAACCCAAACAACGACACTCTAAAACACAAACAACAAAGGACACTGTGAAACACAAAAAAATAACTACACTCTAAAAAACAAACAACAACATTGTGAAACCCAAACAACGACACTCTAAAACACAAACAACAAAGGACACTGTGAAACACAAAAAAATAACTACACTCTAAAAAACAAACAACAACATTGTGAAACCCAAACAACGACACTCTAAAACACAAACAACAAAGGACACTGTGAAACACAAAAAAAATAACTACACTCTAAAAAACAAACAACAACATTGTGAAACCCAAACAACGACACTCTAAAACACAAACAACAACGGACACTGTGAAACACAAAAAAATAACTACACTCTAAAAAACAAACAACAACATTGTGAAACCCAAACAACGACACTCTGAAACACAAACAGTGATACTGTGAGACACAAACGACTCTGTGAAACACAAACCACGACTATGTAAAACACAAACAACGACACTCTGAAACACAAACAATGATACTGTGAAACACAAACAACAAAGGACACTGTGAAACACAAAAAAATAACTACACTCTAAAAAACAAACAACAACATTGTGAAACCCAAACAACGACACTCTAAAACACAAACAACAACGGACACTGTGAAACACAAAAAAATAACTACACTCTAAAAAACAAACAACAACGGACACTGTGAAACACAAAAAAATAACTACACTCTAAAAAACAAACAACTACATTGTGAAACCCAAACAACGACACTCTAAAACACAAACAACAAAGGACACTGTGAAACACAAAAAAATAACTACACTCTAAAAAACAAACAACAACATTGTGAAACCCAAACAACGACACTCTAAAACACAAACAACAACGGACACTGTGAAACACAAAAAAATAACTACACTCTAAAAAACAAACAACAACATTGTGAAACCCAAACAACGACACTCTGAAACACAAACAGTAATACTGTGAGACACAAACGACTCTGTGAAACACAAACCACGACTATGTAAAACACAAACAACGACACTCTGAAAAACAAACAATGATACTGTGAAACACAAACAACAAAGAACACTGTGAAACACAAAAAAATAACTACACTCTAAAAAACAAACAACAACATTGTGAAACCCAAACAACGACACTCTAAAACACAAACAACAACGGACACTGTGAAACACAAAAAAATAACTACACTCTAAAAAACAAACAACAACATTGTGAAACCCAAACAACGACACTCTGAAACACAAACAGTGATACTGTGAGACACAAACCACGACTATGTAAAACACAAACAACGACACTCTGAAACACAAACAATGATACTGTGAAACACAAACTACTCTGTGAAACACAAACAACAAAACTGTGAAATACAAAACAAGAACTATGTGAAATATGAACAAAACTTTTAAACACAAACAACAACTCTGTGTAACACAAAACAATGACTCTATGAAACACAAAACAACGACAATGTGAAACACAAACAACGACACTGCGAAACATATAAGGGCTCTATGAAACCCAAACAACGACACTTTGAAACACAAACAAAACACTGTGAAACACAAACAACTGCTAAATTGACATATGAAATAAAGAATTATAAAGATGATGAAGTAGTATATTTAAACAGAAAAAAATACAGAAACACAACATTATTAATGTAATGATCAAACGTTTAAGTACACAAAACTATAAGTAAACCGCAAAGGATGAAGAACGCTATTACTCCAGTTAAAATAGATTTAATACTGTAACACTGATGACAAACTTAATTTTTAATGAAACCTCTAGACAAAACTTTCCACCCCAAAACCTAAACTACAAATAATTTTGCGTAGTCTTCTCCTGAATTGCTTGGCCAAGAAGCTAGCAAGTTCTAGAGCAGACTTCGCCTCCACTTGTAACAAATATGCGTCGTTTGCCAGCAATCTTCCAGGACCGACGATGCAAATACCACTTTGTTTTAGACCGTTTTATCTGTACGCAAAAATTATGAAAAGTTTAAGTGCTGGGAAGGATACACATAGTTTAGACAGTCTTATATTTTTTTAGGTTAGATACTTCTGTAATTATTTTATTTACATTCTTATCGAAGCACAATACCGCGTAGACTGAAAAATCCAATAATCTAAGATTTTTTTAAGTAATTCTTGTTAGGAACTGGAAGAAAAGTTCTCAAAGGATAGGACTCAAAATGATTCTACAATAATTCTACGATGAGTTAAACCCTGTTTATGTTTGTCAACTCAACCTGTCCAGTGATTGGTTGTACGATGTTCCTTCTTCTGTCTTCTCTTTTCTGTCTTCTAACGCTTTGCTGTGTCGCCTGGGTCTTTTGCACTCACATTAACACATTAACACTAACATGCTGGATGTAACTATAGAGTAACTTGCGTGGCTTTGCTTCTGCAGTAAAACGCTGGCCAACTTGCTACATCTGTAGTATACAAGTACATACACTTTATAAATGTTTGTTGTTTTACACATTTTGGCTTTATCAAATTTTTGAAGGGTCACTTGACCTTTTTTTTCAAAATTAGAACATTAAGTGAACATTTTGTAAATGTACATTAAGTTTTACAAATGTATATTTAGAGTGCAAACTGAAACTTTAATGTACAGCCAAATTCAATTGGAAACTATTACTATATAGTAATAAAGAAAACCAACACATATTCTCGGTTTTCAAAATCTGTTTATCAAATCACACATATATTTATACTTCACATTTATATAACTGTAACTTAAACTTTGAAAATACAGAACAATTATTCACTCCCATCTCAGATACTGTTTTCAGATTGGACCTAATTGAATGTTTTACGAAATCACAACAGTTGATCAATATTTCTGATCTCTCAACTCTATCACTTGTAAATTGACCACACTTTCCACCATCAGACCCAAGCTTCAGGAGATCTTCCGATGGGAATGCTGACAAACTATTGTGTTTGTGAACATGAAAGGTCCGATCAAAACTGTATCGAGAGTGGGATAAAGTGAGGAATTGGTGTTCACAGGTCATAGCTGTCATCTCAATATTGTTCATCGTGTTGTCCACGATAGCTCTCACTCTAAACACCATTCCGCAAATGCAAGTGAACGACGAGAAGGGCGCAGTCCAAGACAATCCCCAGTTAGCCATGGTAGAGGCAGTCTGTATCACTTGGTTCACTCTAGAATACGTTCTGCGCTTCAGTGCGTCCCCGAACAAGTGGAAGTTCTTCAAAGGCGGTCTAAACGTCATAGATCTCTTAGCCATTCTGCCCTATTACGTATCACTCTTCCTCGTGGAGACCAATAAGAACGCGACGGACCAGTTCCAAGACGTCCGCAGAGTCGTGCAGATTTTCCGGATCATGAGGATATTGAGGATTTTAAAACTCGCGAGACATTCCACCGGTCTGCAATCCCTCGGGTTCACCTTGAGAAACTCGTACAAGGAGTTGGGCCTCCTCATGCTCTTCCTAGCCATGGGCGTGTTGATATTCTCGAGTCTCGCGTACTTTGCCGAGAAGGAGGAACCGGGGACCAAGTTTATCTCTATTCCGGAGACGTTCTGGTGGGCGGGAATCACTATGACCACAGTAGGATATGGCGACATCTACCCGACCACTCCCCTTGGGAAGGTTATTGGTAGTGTTTGCTGTATCTGTGGAGTCCTGGTCATTGCGCTGCCCATTCCCATCATAGTGAACAACTTCGCCGAGTTCTACAAGAACCAGATGCGGCGAGAGAAGGCGCTGAAGAGGCGGGAAGCGCTGGAGAGAGCTAAGCGAGAGGGCAGCATCGTCAGCTTCCATCACATCAATCTAAGAGACGCTTTCGCTAAGAGCATGGATCTAATAGATGTCATTGTAGACACGGGTGAGTCCAATTTGTTTACATACTCAAAACTTGTTCAAAATATACCGATACTTTCAATTAGCAATATAGTATATATGCAGAAGGATTTTCAGTAAGTTATTGTATAAGATGAAAACCAAGACTATTGTCTGGGTGGCCGAGTTGTTTCAATGCTTTTCTCCAAAACTGAAGGTCGCTGGTCCGATTTCAAACGGTGCCAACTCTGGCCCCAGTTGCCAATTTACATCAAGTCATCAGTTATTGATGCTGTTTAACAAAAATTCTACTCTAGATAGTTACAAACCAAATTCAGAGCATTCCCCCTACAAAAATTAATAAGATTCTCTCAAACCTTATCTAGATTTGTTGAATAATATGCAAAGTTTTCATAGTTTGGGAAACTGAGAACAGACCCCATCTTCAAATGAAATATTGGAATAACCACGAAACATTAATTAATTGGAATCAGCCAAAAGTAGGGAAAACATTTTATACAGTACTAATTTACTTCATTTAGATAAAGTGAATTAGTGCTGTGTCGAATTTTAATTCAAACAAAAACTATTTGTGTGGTTAAAAACATTACAAACATTATCGTGCCCTGAGAAGTAAATTCTCAATGTGCTTGTATATCTGCACCAAACCACCCATGGGACATTGATTTGTGCAGCTGCCTTGTATGGTCTGTGATTATCCTTGCAAATGCCTGCTATCCTCTAGTAATTATCATACAACCTGTATATCAGATAGGCATTTCCGACATCAGATGTTCTATACCCCTTCACTTAATAACCTGCTTCCAACTCCTTGCTTAGAATTATGAGGACACTCAACTTCACCACAAACATTACATTTTTATTACGTTTGCTAATTTCATCATATTATGAATATATTTTATTATTTTTATTCGAGTCCCCTAGTTCACAAATTAAGAACATAAACTGAAAGATACAAATATTTCACCGAATTATATTAGGAAGGTTTTTGAACAAATGATATCTTTAATATCCTTTAATAAAATGCCGCGGCATTGGTGTGTGGCAATATCACACTGGACAGCCTATTATTATTATTATTATTATTATTGTTGTTGACATGGTAATAACAGAACAGTAAAGTGACATAAACATTGTACAGAAGCTCCATCATGAATTAGTGCAACAGCTGTTTTGGCAAGCTGAAAATTCTCGCTGCAGCCTTTTTTTGGAGGGAACCATGATTACTCTTATAATTCTTCAGTTTAGAAACTTAGATGGAAAGAGCACATCTCTCTCTATAAAGTAAAAGGCAAATGCAGTAAACAATAAATTAATTCAAGGATAAGAAGTAGATAGATGAAAAGGTTTAACTCCTGAGAAAAGTACAAGACACGGTCTGGAAATAATCATCAAAGTGCCAATTCATGAAAAAAATATCAAAGAAACAATAAATTCTCACATGACAAGAACAGGTTTGGCTTTGTTAAATCACTGAGCAATTAAGTATAGTGACTGTACTTAAAAACAATGAAAGATACACAGGAGGTACCGGTAACAACCTTTCTACGAAATTTTCAAGCGTCTGGGAAACAACAATATTCCAACTCGTGGAAGATGAAAGTACGTTGTCAAGAAAATTTTTAAAAACTCTCAAATGGTGAGAACACTCCTAGCTTGACAGGAATTAATTAATTGTATAAAAGATACATTAACATGTCGAAACCTTTCAAAGAAATTTTCAAGATAAAGTCTAAAATATATTCATCAAAGCTGCAATTCATGGAAAAGTCGACAGAAACAAGTAAACTCCCAAGGCGGTTGTGATACTTTGGGCAGGTATATCTGCCCCTAGCTCTGCGAAAAGAACCCCCTAGGATTCTGCCCCTAGGGCAGCTGGTCTCTGGGGACATTTTGTAAATCCCCTACGATGAGCAAGGGATGTCCATGTATTTTGTATCTGAGCATTACAAACTAAAGAAATCCCCACAGAGAGAAATAGAAAAAAGTTCCTCCAAGTTCTTAAGAAATAATTTCAATAGTGTTCTCAACAAAAATAATTTAAAAATTCCACTAGCGTAGATAGACACTCAAAAAATAAACATGAAAATACTGGCACATATTTTTTATAGCAAGGAAAATAGTCAATTTAAATATATTTTTGAGGTAGAAAATTATTTTGTGGTACAACATAAATCGGATTGCTGAGTTTTGAATCCTCTGTATGCGTCCCATGTCTTCCCAAGTATATTGTTGCCATATGTAAAATAAAGGACTAGAAAAGCAGTAGTAAAACACTAACAGTATCAAAAACTGCATAAGGTGCATACAGACATTAAACATTAACTGACATTAACTGCATACAGGTTAAGTGTAAGAAAGGGCCATGTGGCCCTAACTTTTGCCTGGATAAATAAATAATATTTCATTCATTCATTCAAGGTGAAGATTTTGCAGCCTCATGCAGGGAACCTCTGAACCTGTACAGAGTCTTAACATTGCACGTTGAGAGATATAAATTACAACATTATCTAAAAGAACCTAGAACATGACAAGATTAATACACAAACAGAATACAGTAGAACTTGAAAACACAATAACTGAAAACTATTGTGTCATAATGTTCCTATAAAGTATTGGATTTCAAAATCCTCCATTTTTATAGATAGATGTTTATGACTCTAGTATAGAGGATACTTTAACCAATGTTCTTGACAATTGATATTAAATTGAGGTATGTTATGGCCAGTAACCAACCAGAATGACAATTTTATTTCATACAGTTTTAGGAGACGTGTTTCGGCTTCTTCAATATATAAAACGTAAAATTAACCTAAAAATTTCTAATTTTGAGCAATTATATAGATAAAATTAGGTTAATACACACAACCCACAAAATCTTTAATTATTGCATGTAAAAGTTTAGTTCCAGTACAGTCAATAATGAAATATGAATCGTAATTTTCAAACATATTGTTTGTTGGACCAGACAAAAGGTTTCATGAAACATTTACTTGCCGGACTGCAGACCAGCTGTTTTATTCAAGAACAACAGTCCCAAGTCTTGGCATAGTCTAAACCCTGCTTTATGGACATGTCGCCGCAGTTTAAGTTATTCATGACTTCCGAGTTATAGATGGACAAACTAACGATAGCGGTCGCACTACACAGTGACTGTGAAGTTCCGAGTTGTTTAAAAAACAAATTTTAAACAAAAACACTATTTTAATGAAATTTTTTCGGAAACTTGCCTTAACTTCATTCTTTATGTATAATTTCACTCATATTTGGATTTAAATGTGTCCACTTCTGTATCCAATTTAATTTATGATAGTAATAATAACTTAATAATAGGACTAAAAAGTGTCCATAAAATATTTCCTTCTTGTGTTTACTGGTGTGGAGTTTTATTTTAACAAATCTAGATTGTAAACTTTTTAAACATATATCCAAATCAATGGTTTTCTTAAGCCAGTATTAATATTTTGTTTTGTCTTGTGTATCTACCAGGAAAATTAAAGAGTATCATATGTTATCTAGATTTAATTGTTTTTACATTTGTTTGGATGGAGACAACAAGACAGATAGGTTTTTGAGTTTTTCAACTTTAATTGTTGAACTATCCTTTCCAACCTTCATCCATTCCGTTCTTTATTCCAACTAAAAACCGCCATTGTTTATTGTTTATGTTTCTTCTGGATTTGGGCAGATTCAAGTTTTGGATTGATGACTGGTGATAGCTTAAACCATGGAATACTTTAATGGTAAAAAGCGGATTTTTGTTTTTTCGGGTTTGGGTCTTTGAATTTTGTTTTAGTAAAGTACCTTACTTGGCAACTACTTTGATTTTTAATTATTTTAAAGAGATCCAACTTAGTTTTTAGTGTAGGCCCTATAGTTATCTTAACTAAGAAAATTCTGTCAGTTCTATGAGTATAGCCCCATTTCTATGTGAAGAAGTCCCATTTAGGACAAAATATCAGTGATTTTAAGAACTTATTTTGTATCTATTGGCCCTTGAGATATCTTAATATCTTAAGATATATATTTTTTCATGAAAGTTATCTGAACTTTATCCTCTTAAAAAAGTTCACCAGCCACTAGGTTCCTTTAAAATATAATTTAGTTGAAACGTAATTGCATTTTCACATTGTACATGTCACCATGATTCATTTAATAACCTTATTGTTTAACCTTGTTTATGTTCTTTACTGGATATGGCGCTGTCTTCAACTCTTTCTCCTCGATGATTTATCAACTTGGACCCTTTTAATGGTAATTTTGAATTGAGTTTGGATTTTGGGAATGACAACTAAACTGGAGTGGTATTCCTGAAAGTTTGCATTTCTAAGATTAACCAAACACCTTAACCATTTAAGCCTGCAGTGCGTTCAAACACCTGAGGGATTAGGAAACCCCATGGAAACCCTTGGGGTCTCCTAATCCCTTAGGTGCCACGGCTGTTTGAACGCACTGTAAATGCCAGTGTATTTCCTACCATGAGTAACAAAATTAAACTGTCCCTTAAAACTGTTTTTATACGCTTAACTCAACAGAGTAGACCTACTATAGTTCGGCCGCTTAGAAAACGAACTGCGCGCTAATGCTAAACCAATGCTGGAGGAGGTCGCTTTCTAAGCGGCCGAACTATAACTGCAGCCTGTATTTAAAACAAATACGCCAAACAATTTGGTTTATCCGTATTACATATTGTTAGGTAGTTAGTAAAAATGGTCTAAGGTATTGCATTAATCAAGAAACTGTTGTGCAGATTTTTTTGTGATCCACTAAAGAAGGCAGTAGAAAGTTTTTGGAATTTTGGGTTGGGAATTTTTAAGATTAAAAGATTGCCTGCCATTTTCTACTAATCATTAAACAAATTATTATGTTTGTGCTTTGTGATGAAAAATCAAGAAAACCTAGGCATTACTAATAGTTCAGGGTCTATGAAGGTTAAATAATTGTATAAGAATGTAGTGACTCAAGTTGAGATGTGGTTTTCATTTCTTTTGTATAAATTTGAATTTTTTTCTTTATTTCCCTCATTTCAGTTATAACTTTTTTTGCACTGAGTTATTTTATGATAGTATTTTTTGTAGTAGTATTTACTTGTTTACCAGCTAGACTAATGCCCTTTTACAGTAAGAGTTAACTCTTGTTCTAGTTTTACCATAGACAAAAAGAATTAAATATAGACTATCAGCCGTGCTGCGGTTACCATGGTTACCATAGGTTCTGGCGCACACCGCTGGGAGCGCCGTGTAGTTACATACGCTGTAACTACATGTAACTACATGGCACTACCTGCACAGCTGACGGTCTACATTTAATTACTTTTGTCTATGGTTTTACTTTTATATAGTTTGTTCTGTAAATTGACCACTATATTGTTTAGTCAGATGATTTATTATTTTTAAATAATCACGAATAGCGCTACGTTAATAAGGTCAAAAATTGTATTCATCTGATTTATTTTTATGTAAACTTTTGACTTATGCAGCCGGTGAATATTTTATTTTATTCAATAATTATTTTTTAAGTTTATACGTTTTGTCACCTTACTACAAAGTACACACATTTAAAAAATGTTTTAACTAATTTTCTGGGTGTATCCAAGTGATTATTGTGCTCGCCTTCAAATCTGAAGGTCGCTGGTTCGATTCAAAGTGATTGATTCTATCAATTAATGATGCTCTAACAAAAGTTTGACATTGGATGGTAACAAGACTAGTGTTTCGACCGTTCCTTACAAATTGATTTTAAAATGTACTGAAAATATATTAATATTTTTTTAACCGTCAGCTGTAGTTAACTATTTTCTGTTTCCTCAACTCAAATACCCAAATTATATGATGACAAATGTAAGTTTGAATAAATGTAAAATATTCACTAATTACACATTTCAGACGCTGTACTCGGACATAACCTGTCCACTGCAGATGGTAACAGCACAGAAGGCGAGAGTGGAAGCGTTAACCCCGCACAGACCGGACCCGGGTGTTATAGAAACCACGAACACTTCACCTCCAGACACCGCAGGCCCCCTGTACAGCCCCCCTTGCTGGACCTGGACCCGCCCGAGGCCCCGCCACAGCCACAAAGTCCCCCTCATCAACAAAACCCTCCTACAAGTCCGGTAAGTCGACCACCAATGGGTACAGCTACCAACTCTCAGCCATCAATACATACAACAACCAACCTTTAGCCATCAATGGTTTAACACTGTGTTATTACAATTAACAATAACATGAAGGAATATTGCTTACATTTCAGATTACCATCATAAAAACTGCATTACAATATCAAGTTTCACACATAAAACACATAAAATTTCACAAAATTTCGGTACTTTGAATCTGATCTAGTTAGAAAGTACCTACAAAAAATATAACAAGATTACACAAACCCACCCAACTATTGAAAAATCACAAACAAAAAACATCGCAGAGAACTGTATAATAGGAAAAACTTAAAGAAATCCTGAAAGAAAACAACAATTAGGACAAAAATTAGTTGGTAAAGAAAATGGACATGTCTACACATGAATGTGGTTCCAGCTTAAAGTCATAAACACATTTTTTTCACTAATAGGTAATAGTGATAGAAAATGTTTGCAACAATCTTTCAAATAACATAACTCTTCACCTTCACCATTAATTTCAAACACAGGAAAATTGTTGTGTCTGTTTGTAAAATTATTGAAAGCTAGTGAACTACCTAAGCCAGAATAATTTGTTTATCGAAATTATATTGATTTGGAATCAAAGAATGCTACTTCATTTCAATATTGAATAAATATTTATTTGCTTATATTAATTGTTTGTTGGATTAAAAGAGATTTTATATTATTATTTTCATATATAATTTTTTACCAGAGGAGTACACCTATTATGATACAACTTAATTCACTGTAGGTAATCATTTATAAAATAAAATAGATGTATACGCATTTTAAAATAAAACTGTATAGAACATTTCAAAAGTTTTTATAATAATTTTAAAACATTATAAATCCACCAGTAAATGTATTTTCTGTTCCAATCTACTAACATTTCAAAATCTAATACAATCATCATCCAAACTGGTGATATTGAAAATTTGTCAACTCATGAAATCAATTAACCTAGAAAGCAAGACTATTGAAACATTGCATGGTTATAAATCATTTTTGTTGTTGAGTTACACAGCAAAGTTAATATTTTGCATGTCGATCTAGGAACATTTTGTTTTTGTAAAGTTGGCAATTCCAACTTGTGTTTTTCAGGTTGGGAACTATTCAAGTCTGGCTAAGCTAAATGTATGTCTTCCAAAACTGTAACTTGATAATGCTGCTTGTAATGTCTGTCATGTGTTATGTCTTTCTGTCACATTTGTACAGAATATTTCATTTTCACAACACCACTCGGAGTTTCATTTTGAAACTTAACATTTGTGTAAATAGTGACACTTATACAGTTTTGACAAGTGGTGCTGTGACCATTGTTTTCTAAAATACAGTTGTTGTTTCAAAATTTTAAGAATAAATTAAATTCCATACTGACATTTTTTGTTTCTACTTAGAGTATAATGTAAAGTATTATAGTTTTATAGAAAAATATTAATTTTATCTAGCTTTTTTATTGGTTGTGAAGGTTAAAAGGAGGCATTATCATTTATAATTTGAAGTTTTAGATTTTACTCATTCAGGACGGTGCTGGTAAGTTTTCAAAGTAGCAAGAGAGACACAATAAAGGTTTTCGAATAAAAAAATGATAATGGATCTCTTTTTTTCCTGAATTTAAACTCTTTTTTCTTTGAAAATAGTTAGATATCCAAAGATTCTACTACAGTTAAAGATATATTTTTCATTGTATGGTTTTTTTATGTTCAGATTCATTTTTGAGCTTTGACACACTGATTTCTTGATTTCATTAAATTAAAAAGATTAATTGAAAAGTGCTCTGAAACTATTAGCCAAGCCAAATTTAATAAAATCAATTAAAAAACCGTATATATTGTTTTCATGACTTGAAATATGTATAATCTTGAAACGTCTTCAGAAGATTAATATATGGTTGATCTTGAAAGTCTTGTAATTTGTATCAGTTATTGCGAAATCTGCTTAAAATATATTTAGCTGACATTGATTTAACAAGTGCAAATTCTTCAAATTTATTTTAAAGATTAATTTTATCGACAGGGCAGAACTTAGATTTTGAAGTACATTTAAAATAAAACACATTTTTTCATACCATAGAAATGTAATGCCCCTAGACTTAACTGACATTAAAATAAAGATTACATTACCCGTATTTTAGTCAGTGTGTTGTCCATGAAGTATTAATAAATTCAAATTGTTCTAATCATTTAAATTAATCTGTATTTTAGAATGCATCAACATTTCTGTGTTTTGTGCTTTCTGTTATCCTCTTCAGGCTCTGTCTTATGTATAGGCGAATGAATCTAGCAACGCATTGGCTAAGCTGGAAGAAATACCGACAGAGTTCGAGTGTTGTTTTTGCAATACCAAGGTAGTATAGCGAGAAATATACTGAATATACCATGGGTATTCCTTGTTAGCTGCTTGGCACGGTTGTATTTTAACTGGTGTATGTAGATATTTCTTATCTCTTTTCTTTGCTTACATTAACTTATTATTTAAGTTTTATAGCTTAGGAATTGTTAAAAGTCAGTAAATGTTGCAGATAGACATTAATCTGATTTGTTACAACTCATTGTAATTCAAAAGAATTTTAAAAATATATTTAACCGAGACTGACTTTGGATAAAATAAGTAGCTAGCCTACCAGTGCGTAAAATCTGAAGTTCTGATGATGATGCTAAATTGAATTTGACTAAATTGAAATCGGACGCAGACGGACTGTGAGACTAAAGGTAGTGATGTTGTAGTTTTATGTCTCAGTGATGCCACTTAAAATTGATCAGTTCTGTTCGTCCTTGTACTGTACTCGGGACTGGCTCACCCCTTGTTTTGTTCAATATTCCGCTCACAGGCCCAAGGCCATATTTCCCTAAAGGCGAACACAGATCACTTGCCAGGGGCCTTGGTCCGGGAGGGGGAGGCCCCTCAACTTGACTTGAGGCCTCAATAGAATTTTTTCTCTCTTGAAAAAGAATTTCACCGATCTGTAAGGAGCTTGATTTTTTAACCAAGCTTTTACTATCACGGTATCCGAAAACATCTGCAAAGATCAGAAACCCAATGTTGCCGTGATTGCAGAAAACAATGGTAATGTTATGCAAAAGGTATTTACGAATGTGTTGTAAACCTACCCACGGTTTTCCACGATTGCGTAAGACGTATCCGATTTCACTGTAACTGCTGTGGCGCTTATTTCGTTGTGACAGAAGATGATTTTGTTTTTTTTTATCAAGAGTGCCGCAGTTGAATTAATTTAAACAAATTATACTAAAAACATAATTAATCTACAGCATATACTTTCCAAAGCAACCCAATTTTGGCACCCACCTATTCTTTTCCCTACAGCACTATACTCTGAACACTTATGAATCCTACTAATATTTTGTGCATTTAGAACTTTCTCAAATTTAAATGTGTAGAATTTGTGTGCTTTCAGTCTGTAGCTGCTTACATAATACCACTTCAGCATTTTACTTTTATTATCACTGACTGTTATCTTGTTTTCCTCTTTTAGAATTTAAATAGTTCTTTGGTCTGAAAGGTTGGTATTAACTGCTAGGAAATATATCATATGTTGTAAAGTATTTAGCTTATTTTGGTGTTTTCCGTCAAGCGAAAATTACAACATACACAAACCAACCAAATTGTCTTTAGAAAACCCATAAGGATTAATCTATAAGAAAATAGGTTGATCAATAATATGATTCATTATGTTTATTATTTCTGTCAATTTCAAACACTGGACCTTAGTAAACAATCATATTATTAGAGATGTCCTTATTATGATAAATTTTGGGTTTTGATCATTTTTGAGTTAAATGTCTAATTTTATCTAATCAACACTCAAGTATCTGTATAGTACATTATTTCAGTATGATATTTTTCTGAATCCATCACTACAACTACAGTGTAATAGAAACAGTTTGTTTAGATTCTGTACCATATTCTGTGAAAATTTCTCTTGAACAAGTCGCTAAAGCATTTCCTTGATCCATCTGTCAATGTCATTTGAGTATTCCTTTATTTATGTTAGGTTTATGGCAGTATTATTTCTTTATGATCAGGACTCGTTAAATAATGCAAAAAAATACAAATCAAATCATAAATGTTTGTTATAAACTAAGACTTAAAAGATTTACAATTTTTATTTCACGTGAATATAGAAAAATTAGGGTATGTGAAAGGTGACTGATTATTAAAATATCCATTCTTTCTCTTTTCTGTCTTTGCTTCTTTCTTGCTATCAATGCTGTCTAAAGGTTATGAACTAGGAAATATAAAAGCAAAACCAATGCTGTGTGCTAGGAGAATCTCTTTTGTTCAGTTCAAGGAGGTTATTTATAGTGATTAGTTAAAATTAATCAACATTTAACTTTTAAGAATTGTAAAAGTTACATTTTGTCGGTTTTTGGTGACTTCCAGTGTTGTATTTAACTGTTATGGCAAAATGCCTTTGCATGGAGAGCTTTTGACGTTTCGTTTCTTTGTAAATTACTTTCCGCATGAAGCCTATTCAAATTTCACGCGAAACTATTCGGACTTCTCGAATATTATTGGTCGAAATTTCAGGATGAAGACCAGTTCGCAGATGTTGAATCCGATTCAGTTTCATCTGGTTAGGTGAGTTTGGTGGTCAGTTTTGTGCTGAAAGTTTGCTAAAGTCGAGTTCAACTGCTAAATTTCTGCTCAAGTTTTCTGCTTGCAGTGTTTAACTAATTGTTCAGTGTTGGTAAGTGTCACTAAAAACTAACTCTTCTGATAATTCCTGAACTGGTTGACATGGAAGCTGCTGCGTGATTTATTTTTGGACACTTATGCCCCTGAGATTATTTTTATTGATTACACTATGACTATTTTCATTGTGTTTTTCACATAGGTGATAAGTTAACGGTAGCAACTGATTAGACGAGTGACTACCAAGAGCCCACTCATCCTGTTAACTTTAAATCGAGTTGAACCTTCATCCTAGCCAAAACGGCACAATTTAAAATTACAAATTTGTTGCAAAACCTAATTGTTATTAGGCAATATTTTAACACGTTCGCTACTGATCGCCACATATTTGCGACACTGTGGTCATTGCCACAGCCCGAGGTATACATTTTAATATTATATTACATATAGACCGGGTGTCACTTGGTTAACAGTACACACAGACCACAAGCCAGTGATGCAGCAAAGTAAAAAACAGTTTTGCCAACTATTTTATGACGTCACTAATCATCATATCCACAGACCAAGTGACGCACATATGCGACAGACATCCCTGTAGTTCACTGCAGAGAAAACAGGGTCTTCCAATAGACCGTTATGAAGATATAAGGTTTTTTATAACATTGGGACACCGACGCAAATATGCGACGTCAGTCTATTTTAATGTGACGAGCCGTCGCATATTTGCTACGGCAATCTATGGGTAGAAACCGTCCATCGGATATATGCGTCGCTGGTCCATATGAATAAAAAAATTTCATACTATTGAGGTAGCGAATGTGTTAATTAGGTTGTAATAGTTTTGCTCAAACATCGACATCACAAATAATACAAGTAGTTGTCACTTATCTATGGTTGAAACATATTAGATATGGTTATATTGATGGATAAAGAATGTTTTGCCACATCAAATTGAAAAAAGGCCTAAAGTCAGGAGAGGCGTTTCGCAATACGCCACTTACAACCATCAAATTACATTTTAAAAAGTAGTTAAAAACATAAAAAGAAAGTGGTAAGTTTCAAGATTTATATTATTTAAAAACCTCTAAATTTTGGTTGTACTGCTGTGAAATATTACAGTTTCCTAGAATATTAATGAAAAATTAGCAACCCTGATGATATTCTTTGACTCTATTACAATAATTATCAATTTTATCTTTTAACAAATTTTAATTTGCCAGTTAAAAGTTCTTGTATTTTTTACCATAACGATAATATTAAAATTTTATTTTACATTTCTACCATTACTTACAGGGTAAGTACCACACTTTGCTGCATGAAACGCTTGCATAGAGCATGGTATTTGCCAGTCATATTTTTAGCAATAGAATATATATTTGTGATCAATTTCAGTTTAACCATGTTTCTTCTGTAATTTAAGCCATTTAATCAATAGTAAAATTGTGAATACAAAAATTAACAAAAAATTAAACTTCTACGTAGGAGGGACGGGTTCGATTCCGCTCATCCACAAGAAACCAATGAGTTCAAACTGCTTACCTAAAATCATTTGAATAACTCCTCTCCCAACTTCTCTGAAAAATGCCCCTCGGTGTGGATAAGAAAAATAAATAATTAAATATTCTTACCTAAAGATGTTTGATTTCCTGTATAGAAAACAGCAGGTGTTGATTAACACTACAAATGCATATTTCCAACATCAACACAGGTAATGTAATCCTATACTTGACAATCCAGACCAATCCAATAAGAAATTTCAACATGTCAATGCACTTAAAACCAAATAGTGACAACTACACAATTTCTTGACCATATCTCATTTCCTTACAGGTAAGCACCCCACAAATAATTTCCAATACCGTATATCAAAGCATATGATTTTGCATGTCCAAAACAAAAAAGTCTAACAGTTAGATTATTTACATGGTTTATTTGCATCAAGGTAAAGAGGTATTGTTCGATACTCTTGACAAGTCCCATTTTGGGGCTAGATACTATTTATTTATCAGCTTTGCCTCACTCGTAAACCACTATCTTGCTCTGAAATAAGTAACTTCCATGAGCAGTGAAATATACTGAGAGCAAAACACAACATTAACTACTCGTGTTGACCAACAACAACACTAATATATGTTGACCTGACAGGACTACAAAGACTTCATAGACGCAGAGAGTCTCATGCCGCTAGCTACCTCAGACTTTCGCAACCCTGTGTGCCTGGAGATGAAGTTGATGAGGAGTGGGCGAGGAGCCTACGAGGGAACTGGAGTCATGGAGATAGGCAGTGTGGACAGCAGCGATACATACGCTAGCTGCACAACTCAACCGTTCAATAGTCAGGTAAGGGTGTTTAAAAACTATTAACTTCCTTCCAGAACTCCTAAAGCAAGAAACCAAATTCCACTTAAGAACTGACAGACTGCCACAGATTCGAGAGACAGGTCCGAGAGTCCTATCTACGCTGCACTGGAGGTTTTACAAACCTGGTTAATGAAAGAAACCTGTATTTAGTGCTCACCAAATCAGAAGGTTTCAGTACAATCCTGAGAAAAGTCAAGCTTTTTAATGTTTGTACACATCATAGACCCCAGCAGCAATTTTTCAGGGGGAAACTGGTACCTCACAGAGTTTGGTTTGTTTTAAACATGTTTCCATTGCCCCTCCCCCTTCACAGCAGGTGCTTATGTTAGATATTGGACCCAAATGTCGTTGATCATCAAACTTTTGATAAACAGTCCTGACTAAAGAACCTGCTTAGTCAGTAATAAAACTAACATCTTAATCATTCAATAGTCATCCTTGACTGATCTTTTACTCAAAATATGCAATATGGTGTGACATTGAGGTTGAAATCTAATCTAATTTAAGTTTGCACAAATATTCTCAAACAACCTAAAAATGTTTGTGATGCTTGTCCTGTTCTCCATGGACATGTAAATAAAGGATATTGTCTATTGTTATTATGATCTATGATCCAGTGTCTATGAGCTATCGCCTATTGTCTATCATCTGTTGTAAGTTTATTGTTAACTTACCCTCAGCATGTTCCCGCAGGGAGATCTTGCAGAGACCCCGTGTGATCAGTTGGACACCAGCAACTTGTACATAAACCCCCTGGAGAGCCCCAGTCCCTGCGGGGGTGTCAAGAAGAGTGCCTCAGGCGACCCCGGACTGCGGAGTCTCGGGGCGTCACCTCTTGACGAGACGTACCGAGGGTTCGGGGCGACTGATCACGGAAGTCGGGGCAGCCTCAATGACACTCCCCTGCCTAAACATCGGAAGACAAGATTCCAACAGGTAATTGACACTTTTTACTGTGTCACAACTTATGTAGCCGTTTCAAAGTTAAATGGTTACTCTTTATTAAGGATATTGGAAATGGCTTAGATAGATCAATTACAGCAAAAACGTCTGGATTGCAAACATCGGAAGACCAGATTATTTAAACCGGTGATTGGAGTTGTGTTTTTTGTGTTATAACTTTTGCTAGCTATTTCAAAGTTAAACGGTTACTCTTACATGATTGAGGTTTTACTGGTACTGTGGCTAAATATGGCTAAAATCATTTTAGGAACTTCAACTGATCGTTATGCTGCGCAGTCATCATATCACGGCCGTATTCCCCTAACGGCGGACACGGCGGTTGCCGGGAGCCTCGGCCTAGGAGGGCTAGGAGGGGTCTCACTTGGGGCCTCAAACTTTTTCTCTTCAATTCAATTCAATTCAATTCAAATTCTCTTTATTCATTCACAGTACAAGTTTTTATACAATGAATAGCGTCAAATAAATATTAAGATGAATTATGCTTTACTTATCGCTAAAACAATCATTATCTTTTCAAAACAAATTTTAAGCTTAAGAATAATAAACAAAACAAAATTAAATCAAATCATCTTTCTAAACTATCATTTATGATTTCTCTTGAATTCCAAAATTCATCCAAAGAATACAAAGACAATGAAAGGAGATAATTTTTCAATCTTTTTTTAAAAACGTCAAAACGTTTTTCCTCTATTATAACTTTAGGTAAATTAAATAAGAATTTTATGCCAATGAAACTACATTTCTTCTCAAAAAACTTAAATTTATGTCGTTCAACCTGCCTAGTATGCCTTAATTTATAGTGTCGAATATTTGTACTATTAGTTTGGAGGTTTAATTTTTTTACATGTAATATAGTTTCATAAATATACAAGTCATAGACTGTCATAACACCTAATTTAGAAAAAAATGGTTTCATTGATTGGCGTTTATTTTTAATTTTGAAAATAATTCGGAGTGCTTTTTTTTGATGATGAAGAATTTTATCCAAATTTTTCTGGGTAGTTCCTCCATAAATTGCTAAACCATAGGATATGTGAGAATTTATTAATGCAAAGTATATGGTTTTTAAAGTATCAATATCACACACCCTTGACATTTGTCGCAGGGCGTACTGTATCTACCTTTTGACATTTTATCAATTACATGCTCAACATGCTTATCCCAATTTAGGTTTTGATCCAATATCAATCCGAGAAATTTCGTGTACTCCACTTGACTCAAGTTTGAATTATCAAGGTAAATATTCGGGTTCAATTTACATCTTGATTGTTTTGTGGAGAATGATACAAAATTTGATTTACTGTAATTTATTAGGAGATTTTTGCTACTTGAGAAATCATTAATTGATAAAAGATTTAGAAAAGATTTCAGTTCGACTTCCTCTTGGGAATTGCCTGTAACTGTGATGTTGGTGTCATCAGCATAAAGACACACTGAACTTCCTCCATCGACAGCTAGTGGGAACCCCTTCATATAACAAAGAAATAAAAGAGGGCCCAAAATAGATCCCTGGGGGACACCATATTTAATATTTTTGTATTCAGAGTAAACATTTTGAGTATAAGAGTATTTATTATTTGGATGGCAGAAATTATGCTGTATTTGGACACATTGTTGCCTTCCTTGCAAGTATGAACTGAACCACTTAAGCTCTTTATTATTTATATTTAAGCCGTGAAGAATTTCTATCAATTTCTTATGTGAAACAGAGTCAAATGCTTTTGAAAAGTCGAGAAAAATTCCAATTACCTTCTCATTTCTGTCAATGGAGTCAATTATTGATTCAATAAAATCGATACCAGCAGTTATCGTAGATTTTCCCTGTCGGAAGCCATGTTGCTCGGGATCCAACAATTTGTTTGATTCAAGGAAGGTTAAAAGCTGGTTATATACTACTTTTTCATAAATTTTTGAAAACACAGGCAATAACGAGATTGGTCTATAACTTGTGGGATCATATTCGTCCCCCTTTTTAGTTTTTATAGACCGGTACTATTTTGGCAACTTTTAATTTATGAGGAAAGATACCACAAATTAAAGAGGAATTTATGATATGAGTTAATGGTTTTGATATGAGAGGAAAAGCATGTTTAACAATGGTAACTGGTATGTCATCCATCCCTGTTGAGAATTTATTATCTAATGACTTAACTATCTTTTCTATTAGCCTTTCATCAACTTCTCTAAATTTGAAGCTGCAGGTTGGTTGGGGTGGTTTTCTAAGGTTAGATTCAATACCGGTACTTGTAGTATTTTTATTAATGTTTGGAAGAACAAGGTCATCAACCACATTAATAAAAAAGTTGTTCAGAATATTACCTACGTAAGTTGGGTTTGATTCGATTTTATCGTTGAACAAAATTTTCAAATTTTTACCAGGCTTTGTCTTAGTATTTACTTCAGAATTAATAATTTTCCAAATTGATTTGGATTTATTTGTGGATTTTGTTATTTTGTCATTGAAGTATTGTTTTTTATTGTCTATCAGCTGAATTTTTAATTCTTTTTTTAATTGTTTGATTTTATTTTTTAGAGGCTCAGACTTAAGTGTTCTATATTGTTTTTCTAAGTTCACTAAATTTTTTTTCTTCATTTTAATGTCATTGGAAATCCATGAATTAGAAGTAGTAGTTTTTTCTACTTGGAACATTTTAGGGAAACTAGTTTTAAAGGCATGTACAAAAATCGAAATAAAAACATCATACTTAGTTTCTACAGTGGCTTGATATACTTCAGACCAATCTTCTTTAGCTAATAGTGTTAAAAATAAATTTATATTAGTCTCAGAAAAACTCCTCCTAAACACTTTATTTATACTCTTAATTTTACTTTTTATTCCATATACCTCAAATAATTGGCCATCATGGTCAGAAATACATGTTAAAATACCATATGCTATGGTTTTTTTGCATTCAATATTAGTAATGAAATTATCTATAGCAGTTTCTGATTCGGATGTTATTCTTGTGGGAAAGTCTACTTTATACTCCAAATTATGTGATTTTAAGATATTCTTAAATAAATAATATGTTTTATCTTTGTTTAGAACATTAATATTAAAGTCTCCAGCTATGACAATATTTTTAAATTTACTACTCAATATGCTACACATCAAATCAAATTTTTCTAAAAATATTTCAGTTAAACAGTGAATTGGAGATCTATATAAACATACTAAAATAAAAGAAAATTGATTTTCAGTGATTAAAGATAAACAACACTCAAATTTTTTTTCCTCTATAAGATCCTGGATTGCTTTTATTTTTATACTTTTACTTTTAATAGCTTTGCTTGATGTATTCTTGATAAATGTATTTCTCCGATAACGTCTCATACAAATATGATACTAATATTATTATCATAATTTGTGGGTTTTTTCCCACTATTGCGGGACGTTGGTGAAATCTGGTGCAACCACAAAAAATCTTCACCATTTTGCCGTTAACGTAGGAGTTATCACTATTCATTCCTGATCACGGAAGATGTCCAGGATTTTATCGCGACATGGGAGTCAAAGATCATGGCCCCACGAACTCCGAAGATCTTCACGGTTTTGCCGTGAGGGGAGGAGATGAAGATGATGTCTTCACAATCGCGCATGATTTTCACAATTTCTTCCCGGCCACATGAGATGTCCATGATTTCGCCGTGATCGGAAGAGATGAAGATGACGTTTCCACGCTCGCCTAAGATGCTAACAATTTCTCCCGGGCCATAGGAGTTCATGATTTCACCGTGATCAGAGAATACGAAGATGATATCTCCGCGATTGCGTATGATGTTCACAATCCCTTTTCGACCGCGGCAGATGTCCACGATTTTACAGTGACCACAGAAGACGCTTACAATTTGGCCGCAATTACAGATTTTGTATAAACCTTTTACAGTATATCAATTACAGTAATATCTTTAAACAATTTATTTTCAAAACTACCAAATTTTGATCTGATGCCCGAAGGTAAAAAATTCTTACTCAACCCGAAAGAAATGAAAAATGTATGGCCTACGACCTAAGACCCCTAATATTATTATTCAAAAAGTTAATAGACTTATTTATTAGCTTGTCTCCTAGGTGATTTTGCCGATCGGATTGTTGGAAACAGAAGTTCATTTATTGAGTTGAAGCAATACCACAAGCATTTCTTAACCCTAAAGTTCCAACCTTCGAAGAATCAGATAGGGGCCTCTCTGGTGAGCCCGGGGCCTCATATTTTAAATACAGCCTTGCATCACAACGTTCTTCATTACTTCTGTACTAGAATCCAATTTCCATCTGTTAGATTTTGTTTTACGTGAGGCAAACATTTCTAAAACAATGAACACAGATTTTGTAGTTCTGATTTTTATATGAACTTATTTTGTAACATTTAATAGTTTAATGTATTCTCCATTTTAAAAATATTTTAGTGATGTTTTTCACCTAAAATACTTAGAACTGATGTAAAAATATTTGTTTTTTTCAGATTTTGGCCTTCATCTAGATTTGCTCAATTTATCACAAGTCCTCAAATAATTTATTATTTTAGGCATAAGGACAAGTCCATAATAAATAAATTTAATACATAGACATTCTTGTTTAATTTTAACCAAACTACTGTATTGCAGAGCACATATAAACATGTAAATATATTGTGGAGTATACTGATTTTCAAAGTAATTGGTTTGTTTAGTGACTATCTACAAAAAGTATCCTCTAAAAATTACACAAGATTCAATAATAACAATAGTAAACAAATTTATAGAATTCACTATGTGAAATTGCTTGCTAAAATGTTTAAGATTATTGTTGGTATTTTTATAAAAAACTTTTCAATAAATTCCCTCTTAATACACTATAACACTGCCCAAATCAGTTCAGAATCAATTATCAAACTACTTTTTCAACCTTTTGATTCAAACACAGTTTTAATTAAACATTCAAATACTTGAAAATCACCATCATATTGGGGACAAGTAAGGGATGATTTCCAAGAACTGGTATGAAAATCAACTTAACAATCAACCCTTTGTGGTAGATGTTAGATTTGATCGTTTGTTTATAAATTTTAAACTTGATTTGTGATGATTTAGAAACCTTCATAGCCAAAAATCTTGCTATAGTTTCAGTTCAAATGGTTGTTAATATTCAGTATTTAGCTTAGAGATGTCTTATTCTGAAGTTAGTTTAATGCTTGGCCCCTTTAAATCCCGATAAAATGATAGTTAGGTGGAGTATAGAATTTTTACTATTGTTCAAGTATGTTAGTATGAGATGATAACTATAATAGTTAATTCCTTCCATTTTAGATTCTTACTTGGAAATTAACAAATATCTTGTCAATTGTGTAAAATATTTTTTTGATGGATGCCATTACGTCTATTTGTGTGTGTTTATATAGAATAGAGCATAAATTCATTATAGATATAGAAATATTACTTAATGTTTGTGTGTTAATAGTGTGTGTCATCATAGACATTTTCACAAAATTTTAGAATTTTTTACTGTTAGAGGCACATAGACTGGTTTTCTTAGTTTCCTGTATATATTCTGTTTGTTTTTACCTGATTACAGTATTTTTAGAAGATTTGGTAAGTATTATTTGTAATAAAACAATGTATTGAACAAATTTATCAATGCCACATGAGCTGTAGTGTTAAGCAAAATTTATGTTGACTAAATAATCTATAAATTTTGATTCATAAAATCAGTACAGTATTTATTATTTTTATTTTGGATTAATTTCTCCCTACTAAGTTACATCATAACAATATATTTTTATACATGCCGTACCAAAAAGTAAAAAAAATATCTGTTTCAAGCTGTTAGGTATTATTAACTTGGCAAATAGAGTCTTGAACTAAGGGGCACATAGTCATGAGTTACCTCATTTCTTTTAGTCAGGAATAAGTAAGTGTGGTCTTAGTATTTTATTTTTTTCTGGAGAAATTAGTATCTGCATAAGACATGTAAGACAGATTGAATGAAAATTTACTTGTATTAAGCACTGTGGAAAGAGAACTTTTTTACATTCAGAAGTAAAATACACAAATCTTGACCACTTTAAATGTCCACTATTTGCCAATTATCCAATTAAACTGTATATATAATATGATTTAACCCAAATTTTTCACTAGTAATTAGTAAAATGCAAATGGTCTAAGTATTAAGGAGTGCTAGGAGGGAAAATTCAATCTACTCTTTTTATCTCTTGAATTACTTTGAAATTTATCTTCATGGCAGTGAATCTGGCAACCAGCAATATAAATGCGTATTTTATATTTAACACATTTATTTAACACTTATTTTACTTTTCAGCCAAAATTGGGAGAATCTCTTGGCCGAGAATCACAAGAGAGTTTGGAGACGATAAAGCGGCGAAGACCTTCGTTTATGCCTTCAAAATCGCTCGCCACCGCCACCCGAATCATAAACCAGCATCTATTTGGCCTTCAAACTCTTAGTAAGCCGGGTAAATAATGGTTATATTTATAAAGTGTTGTTTCATACAACAATTGAAACCTACAAACCAGAGAAAATATAATTAATCAAATTTTAAGTACGCTTATAGCTTGAAATAAGCATGTGACCAACTTGATGGACCTATGACGCTATTTTAATTTTAATGTTTGTAAAGTTTGTACATTGCCTATAATATATCTATTGATTTAGAAAACATCTTCCCAAGTTACCTAGAAAGCTGTATAAACAATAGCTAACTAATTTTATTATGAATAGAATAGCCAGATCCTTCAGTTCAGAAGTTTTCTGAATTCATTTTACACTCCATAGATTAGTTCTGAATCCATTTTTGATAGGGATTTTTTTCTTTATGAAAGTGTTATAAAATAGCTCTGTTTTAAACAAAAAAATACCAAAATACAAACTTTTGTCAAACCTGAGGTGGGAAATACCGTTACTGTGCAATAATAGTCAGGAACCTCCCTTTTCTTTTCGGTATTAAGTGAAATAATATTATTATTATTGTCACCCATTACAACCTCGTCAAGGACTTTTCAGCCAGAAATCTGTTAATGAAGACACGATCAGCACTTATTTCACTTGATTGTTCTAACAGTTCAGGTAACGTTACAAAAATAATTCTATTCTCAATAGTAATTTAAGGCCAAAGTACTATACCTAATGCTTTTAATAGGAGGACCACATTTAGCAGGATATTTATTTCATTTGCTCATTTAAACAATTTTGATGACGTTACTAAAATATGGTAAATAAGTACTCAGTAACATATTAACAGGGTAATAGGTTAGGTACACTTCCGTATTATTTATCCTATAATGTTAAATAACAATTAACCACCTCTATCTCAAACATGATGTAGGTTAGGTATACATTAAAAACTCATTTGCACTGATAAATACCTTACCTTACTTAACTTACCATAGTATTATTTCCCTACCAAACTTTACAAAAGTAAAATTTATTTCCAGCAAAAAATGGGGAGAGCCGTTCTTCACTATCTGTTGACTCCATTGACAGCAGAAGTTGTACAACTCCGGAGACCCACCGCAGGTCCAAGTCCATTCTGAAGAAGCATGAGACTTGCGCAAACCACAGAGGTCGGGCTAACGATGACCCGGAAACCGAGAAACTGATATCGGACTCAGCCTCGGGGGCCGGCTCAGACTACTCACCTGGCAAGAGTCCGCCAGCACTCAGAGCTATAGGTTGGGACGCAGTTAGACAAAACTCTATAAAAATACACTTAGAATACATGAAACTAACCAAACATATGACCATCTCAATGGGGTGTTTCTTTTTGGTGTAAATAAGGATTAGTTACGCCAGGATTAGTAGATAAGTATAGTTCATGTTTCTTCACCTACATTTCTGAAACTAAAACTCCATAATCTGCTGTAGGTCTGCATCTAATAAGACAAAACACATCTAAACAGCTTAATCTACTGAGGTCTTTTCTGGTAGACAATTAGAAGATTTCAGCGATCACTAAGAACAGCTAACTCAAGCGACGCTAAGCGTAGGAAGAAGAAATCTCAACAACAATACTCTTCCTTGACAAATTCTATTGATATGTATAACCTTACTTTCATATCGAACTCAAAATAGTCATTATGCACCTAAGTCCAAAACGACCCAAACATAACCAACAAATAATAAAGTAAATGTACAAATTGCTGCAAGGAAAATCATTAATTGCTGCACGGACTATAAAACCATACTCGAATGTCCAACAAGCAAGTATCTTGTCATAACACAAATTTAATTTTGACAACCAATAGGCTTAGGCCACTCATTTATCGTAATGTAGAAGAATTACTTAGTCCCACAATAGGGTGTAGAATCATCCAGTGCCAACTATACTTATACGTTTTACACTTACTATAATTTTGAGGGTCAATACTTATCTCAAATCACTTTCAGGTCCGTTGCGGTCACCCAACGCCACCAAACCTCAAGCGCTTCCCATCAAGTTTGTCGGGATCTCCGGCGCCGCCTCCAACAACCCCTCGGACATGACGTTGCTGCAGGAACTGCTGGGCTCGACTGCGGCTCCCCCTCCACTATACATCTGTCCTCCGCCGCCTCCCATGGAGCACTCTCCCACCGAGGAGACGAAGCTGCTGCTCCACCACGGTGACTCCACCTCTCACCATCCGCTCCACTCCTCATAGCAGTCACAGGTGAGAAATAGCTCATGTGTCTCCATTCACCCAGAGAAGTCCCCGATAGTATTTCAATTGGTCAGTTCCTTGACAATGAAACTTTAAACGTCCCTTTCCCTTAATTTTATGGGTAGCTGAGTGGTAAGCTCGTCTTCAAACCTGAAGGTCGCTGGTTTGATTCCAAGCAAGATCTTTTCTGGACCCAAATGTCATTTGTCAATGGGTTATCAATTAATGAGGCTATCTGACATAAGGTCAACGTTAGACAGTAACAAGGGGGTTTACCCAACAACAGGGTTTGGGCTGTTCCATAAATAAGATGAGTAGCTGAATAATTATTTTAACTGAGAACTGAGTTGTTTGGTAGAAGATGCGTCCTTTTTTTTAACCCTAGAAGATTAATTTACTAAGTGTGATGTGGGGAAATCGAGGAAATCAGTATGTTGACCAACATCTTGCTGATTGTTACTGCTAATCAAAAAAAGATTAATTTTTGGTCACAATATCCTATTCATGAACAAACTCGGCAACATGTAAAACTAAACTATAATGAAGCTGTATGTAGATAGAACATCCTATGTTGAAAAGTAACAGTCTGGCTAATGTATGCAATTGTACTAACATATTGTGTACACTTTTTACAGAGATGAATTCTACAAAATTTGTTTGAGGAACTGTTAAATGTTCTAATCAAGTTGCTGTTTTGTGTAGGGAGGGCCATGCCCCGACTCCACTCACAAGCATATCGGCAGAAAAACAACGACCTCCGCTGTAGTCGTCAAGACTTCACCCCTTCAAGCATTCCGTAGACTTATCGAGCCAGACTCAGGGAACGAGTGTCGTGCGAAAGCGAGTGTTTGTATAATAAAAACTCTGTCACACCGTGCTCTACTGTACATTCGTATTGGACTCACAACTCCTTTTTTACAAGTTTTATTTTCCTACCTAGATCCGCAAAGCTGAAATGTGTATTATATTATTGAAAATCGTTTCTGTAAGACAAAACGAAAATGTAAAATTGTTTCTGCAAAATAAAATGTAAGTAGGGAATTAAGGTTGCTCAAATCGAAACAGGCAACTTTCAACTAAAGCGGTGAAGCTGGTTGGATCGCGTTGCTGTATTTTGTTACGTAAGCTTACAAAACGTTTCCAGTTGTGTTACACATTCAATGAAAGGGATCAAATAGCGTAGAAGCTGTTGTAGTGGTTATATTTTTAGGCTGTGTACATATCTAGTTACATGATTACCAATTTTATCTGAAAGTTGCATTTTGTATGATATGAATCATATGTCGTTGATTTCTATTATGTAATCTATTGTTCCTATAATTTCTGTAAAAATAAAAAGTAAACCTGCAAAATCTAGCTTTAACAAAATTGTGTTTGGAATTTGACTGTTCAGAAATTCCCGTTCAAGAATTTAAATTTTAAACAGAATATTATTGTACGATTTTTAATTATTCTGCACTTTAAGTTGTTTAAAAAAAATCAAATATAAATTGAATGACAGAGCTATTAAAACCAGAGGATGTGTGTAACGATCTTACCTGCAAACTTTCCCATGAGTTTTGTGTAAAAATTATACTTATTTAAATTTACTCTAAAGCACCAATGTTACTCCCAATAGTAATTATTGTTAAGACCGCATTGAAGGTAAAGTAAAATCAATTCAAGTAAGAAAATAACTAGATTTTCTAATTGATATCTGCTGCTAACCAGAAAAAAACCTCACCATCATGAAGACAGTATAACAATTTTACAAAGAAAAAATCTCAACACTTTTTTACAGTTATGTTCTTCTCCAAACAGAAAACATGATTGGAAAACACGACTCATGTTATATTTGATCGTTATAAACAAATCCAAAAACAAATTCATTTGCAGAATATTCTTATGTACCGGTTTTCGTTATATTTTTGACAATGCTAACATTGATGAATCAAAGATTTTAATTAGAGTTTTAATCAGATACAGTTACGGGTATAAATTTACAATCAATGAGAAAGTATTCCACACAATTTACAAAGAGTTGTTTTACGTGTTTGATTCACAGTGTGTTAAAATTTATGTGTTTACTAACAAACCGAATTACAACTATTTATCCACAAGATATGCTAAGTTTATAACGGCCTATATTCGGTTAAGCACAAAGTATTAAACTATGCTTTAACATTTTACTCATAACATTCCTATACTTTAGTATACTACTTTGCTGAAATATATACTTATAAAACAAAACATAAAGTTTCTGATAAGAAAACTAAAAAAACTAAAAATTGTTGACTGATGTTCGTTAAGCTAACTTTGGTACTTAGTAATATTGTTAAATTTGTATTCAAGAAAATAATTAACAATCTTTTTGTAAATATAATAAATGTGATTGAGGAAAAGGTTTTATGTTAGAAGGGTTACAGAGTTTATGGGAGTTGTCGGTTAACTTGACCTAAGTCAAATTGTTTTCTTAAGCTATGTTTTAGGCCTAATTCCAACCATGTCTTCACCTACTGTCTATTTCATATTTAAATGGAAGAAAACATTTGTTACATAACTAAACCGGTTAACATAACATTAAAAATTGAATCAGGCAATCAAGTAAAATGATTTAGCTTTAAAATATTGAAACAGCAATGTAAAAAATAAAACTATTGTACACAAACAGATATACATACCTAATACAAGAGGTTATTGCTTTTTGAAATGACACACTACATTTCATTACAACGAAGTTTAAAAAAAAAAGCATTAAAACTTGCGACCGGTTATTTAATGCAAAAAGTTATAACTCAAAATATATATTTAATTTGAATAAATGCTTACTTTGAACTAAATACATCAAAGGAAAACCACCCCTAATTGTGTGTTAAGCATTAATCTTTTGAGTATTGACAGGACTACACATTCCATTTCTATGTTAAAGTTGCCGTCAAATTTGGAGTAAAATGAACGTAGTTGAGTTGAGCCGTTGACGATGAATGAATTAATAAATTATGAATGAATGGAAAATGGTATTTATTGGCACAAAACGTTCAGAGTTGTAATATCTTGACAGATTAAACAATCTGACAGTGATTTATATTGCCAACTTTACCCAGTCAAACTGACAGGACAGCTTATTGTAAGCTAAAGCATCTTTTACAACAACTATATCTTAGGAATAAAAACTAAGGGAAGAATTTTAGACTGTAGTACACCCAGTGATTATCCTTCTACATGTTCCCGCTTAGCATTTTTTAAACCAAAAAGAACATGGCTGAATGAACCACTCGTCTGCGACTGTCTAAAATTCATTTTTCTCCGTTAGTTTTTGTTTTGTTGATTTGGCGTAAGGGTAAAATAAGCTGTAGTTAAAAAATTTCCTTTAAAAAGTTAAGTACGTAACTGTAACTTGGTTAAAACGTTACCATGTTTTATCTAAATCAAATCAGTGATTTACACATAGAGTTGGTAGCTTGATTCAATTAAGTTTATTTTTATTCTAAAACTTACATGTTTTGTAAAAATTCTAAACTCATCCTCCATATATTCAGTTTCAGCATTGTCATGCACCATCTAGATAATCAATTAAACTTTTTAGAAATACTTTACCAACAAAATATCGACTTAAAATTAAACCGATAAAAATTTAATCAATAAATACAATTTAGACTTCCAACTAAATGAGAAATAGACAGTAACAATACAATATGCCCTGTACAATGTTACGCCCTGCAAGCAATATATGTGCTAGTGCCTGATGGCCTCATTAAGTTTGTCATTATGTCCGACAGTAGGCGCTGCGCATGTACTGTATGTATAATCTCACACTAAGCACCCGTTGTTACTATTGGTGCAATCAGTAAACATTTTTTGAATTATTTCAACGTTTACCGTTTTTTCACCCTGTCTCACAGCAGAGTGTATGAAAAAGAATGTTTGTAAGGTAAGTATTTTTATTTTGCATAGTGGCACTATATGCTAGACATCGTAGCAGAAAAAAGTAGATGGTTGAGATGGTTTTAGCATACTATGAGAATAAGTAAAAATTCCACCACAAAGAACATACTTGATAGAAACCCCGAAGGCAGAAGACCACCTTAGCATCCTTAGCAGAAGCTAGGATGGAGGGATAAAGTACAAAAAGACATTAGAAGATTGGGAAGGAATGAAAATTATGCTCAAGAAAGAGACACCTGGAGGCAGTGCATGGGCGAGGCCAAGTACCTCTTAAGAGTCTTAAGGGTGCGCTTTACCTCCACTCGGAAATCTCAGCTCAGGCTTCAGTAGCTATGTTTCACCATTGGACAGCGCTGCGAGAAGTGCTTGCAGACGTTTCAAAGATTACTGTTTTAGAATTAACAAATAATGATAGCTACACATTTTAAATGGCTTATAGTAGTACAAAGACCCATCTATAGTTCTGCGTTTTTCAATAAATGTTCAAAAAAACATATTTTTTAATAAGTTAAGGCTAGTTGAAAAGACCCTTTTTTCTTGTACTACAACTCAAGTTTATAAGGTGTGTATTTAAAATAATTGAAATATAGAAACAAAGAACTATAGAAAATTTCATCCTCTTTAATATGAGACCTTAACTTTGATTCTACCTTCAATGTAGCAAGTGAAAACAGAAATCTTGCAAACCCTTGCATTCGGTTGCACGTCAGGGGTAAAGCTTAAGGTACCAGTGGCCACTCCAGTAAGTAAGTACAATGGCACTAACAATTAATTCTGGCTCCCCTCTATAAGGTATAGAAAAGTAATAAAAATCATGGGTATTCTATGATCTTAATAAATATGTTAGAAAAATATGAATTTATGATTACAAAAGTACAATTTACGTCATCATACTAGTTGAACTTTGCTTTAGTTTAAGTGTTTTCCGGTCTTATCTTCTCTTGGCTCCCGCTAAGTAGACCATCTTACCTGATCTACAGAGAAGTAAGGTACGGTTTTAGAGGTTTGGACTGCATTCCCTAACGAGTGTTCAAAATTTATTCAAACAAAATACCACAAGCGTACACACTAAAAAAATTAAGTCCTTATATAAACGGAGAATACTAGGGGCAACCAAGTTGTTTCTACTGTTGAAAAATCTAGAAGAGGGATATAAAGTTGTCAGGGAAGCCAAGTGGTTATGGTCTTCAAGTCTAAGGTCGCTGGTTCGATTCCAAGAGATTGTTAGCAGACTCCGACGCCGGTTGTCATTGGACTATCAATTAATGATGCTTTTTTAGCAATCGGTTGACGTTAAATAGTTAACAGGACCAGAATTAGGATCATTTCCAATCAAAAAACATGGTAAAAGTTTTTTTTTATTATATGGACCTGGGATGAAATTAAAACAGAGATGCCTTTTACGATATTTTTTATTCAAAATATCTAGTGCTTAGCCAAAAGCTATAGTGAAGATAAACTCCAAACAATAGTAAAAATATTTCAGCTAGAACTGTCGTCTTATCATAACTCTCCAAGTTTGAGTAACACCAAACCATCAACACAAGGAATTACATTTGGCCATTTTAACAACATTAAAACAAATCAAAACAATCAAATACAAAGGAAATACGACTCATAAAAACAATATTATGTATCATTGAAAAAATCATTGGTTTAAGTAAAAGCAAATGTTCCTATTGATATAGAAATATATCACAGGAAGGAAACCAACTTAAATCTGGAATGATTTGTTCGTCATGGAATTCTTTGTCAGCATAGGATACCTCATTATAAAATGGGCGAAACGTCTGGTTATGTACACAGTATAAATACCGACTTGCCACGGTTCTCACTCGAAGACAGAGAATTCAGTGATGAAACCGGCCGCTTAAGCCTACGAATGAAGATGATTGTTTATGTTCAAACAAAGATTAAGGCAACATCTACTTTAGTTTAAAAAATTATCTAACCGTCTTAAAAACAAAATATACTCATTGTAAAAAATACTAAACTCAAATTAAAATACAAGTAAGTAAGTACAATATCCAAAACAATAAACTATTTCAACAAGTTGATTATTACTGATTATTATTATTATAATGAGCTTCAATATAACTAATACCCGCAAACCTATGGAAATAGTCAATTAAGTCGGTCAACTAATAAAATAGTTCTGTCATTCGAGTATTATAAAAACTAGAGCAGCATCACCCTACAAAGTATTGTTAAATATAAATCAAATAACATAAAAGATAAACATATCCAAATAATAACACGAAATAAATACACTCGTACAACTAGTTGTCTTATATTTTATCTTAAGTACACTATATTATATATCTTTGGCAAGTGTAACAAAATCAACAAAATAAAAACATTGTATATTTGTTCATCTCACTCTTTTATCCCTACATTCCATATTTACACAATAATTTCCTACTAATCTTCATCTGTGTCGATGTAAACGTAAACTAATCACAAACAAATTTGTACAGTATGTATTACAATAATTCTATAGAAGTGGGCAGCTTATGTTTACAGTGCATGAAGATCAACTGGATTATTTGAAGAGTAATGAAAATTAATTATATTTTGTTAGCATAAGTAAAAGATGAGCGAGAAACTACTTATTAACTTCAATAAATGACACAGCTTTATGTCTAAATGGACTGTTTGCCTTTTAGTTGTACATTACCCTCGTGTCAACATCTTTTTACATATTTACCATTAGTATTAAAATTACAACAAAAAGATAAGTAGTTGAGAGTTTTGTAATAATATATGACTAGAAACTTCTGTGAGCAATTATTTATGATCAACGTCGAGTTTTATGTTTTGTTATTCGGACTCATTTTATTTAAGCTATAACGATAAAAAAAATTCACAAATGTTTTAAAATTTGAAAATCTTGATTCAATGCATGATTACATAAGTTTTCAAAGGTGTGATAATTTAACAAAATATGTTTCACTTGTATTCTGAAGTTTTTCTTCTTGAAGATAGATGAAATTAAACTTTAGAATTTTTTTAGTTTAGATATAAAAAAAACTTTGGTGCTTTCATTGATAATATTTATTTACAAATGTAATCAGTTAATATTATAAAGTGTTTTCCTAATACTTTTGATTGAAACAAAAACTAAGTATAATCCAAAAAGTGTTGTTCTTAATTAAAAGGTAATCAAACGTTAAAGTTTTTATTTTGTCAGTTCAATTTGACCATTATTATTCTGACATTTCTTCACATAGGTTCATCATACAAAACTTCATAACTTTAAGAACTACTCAGGAAGAAAAATAACTTTTAGATTACTATTAAAAATTACACAACCTTTTGTCATAATGGAAAAAATATCACGACAAACAAAAATTGTGTTTTTCCGACGGTTTTCAACACGGGATACAAATACTTATTACCGACAACATTTACAGAGTTTAAAACCGTCTAGTTTGTATTACAATGATAGCTGCACCACGTTGTAAAGATATTATAGACACAAGTCAATGCTTTAGCAGAATGAGAATATTCTGTACCAATAATTACTGGAATTCATCATCTGAGGAGAGCAGCATAGTTTTCTCGTTGTACCCCGAGCTGATGGTCGCAACTCGCTGGCTAGGCGCTGTCGTCTGCTTCTTTGGGTGGGGTGTATGTGGGGGGTCGTCGGCGTCGTACCCCCCTGCTCTGGAATTCCTTTGAGCCCCTCCTGTAACTGTGGAACAAAATATTGACACGCAGTAGAGAAAATGGTTGTATATTTTACTGATTGCGCGAAAATAACAGCAACAAACGTTCTTAGGACCTTCCACTGTTACTGTATAGTATGTTACGCTACAGGATGAGAAGCAGTAAAAGCATCATGGTTCCAGGATTTCTAGTGAGTACCTACCTGGATATGTCATATACGATACTTTTTGCCACATTACCAATAAATATACATTATTTATAATTTTAAAAAAAATGTTTGCCACACTACCAGTAACAGATACAGGATAAGTAAAACACAACCTCTATCACAACACTCTTAAGTACACTATACAATTTTAACAGAATCAACAACTATTTTAAAAGGTTACGTTTTTAGACCTTTTCAATATTTATTTTGTGATAGTACAATGTGCCTGGCCAAACGTGTCTAATATTTATCGTGTAGCTCAAGTGGTACGTGAAACCTAACCTACGATCACTAGTGCCATCTTGTGCTTAAACTGGCAAACGCCCCATTCAGCTGACGGTGGCATGGTTGGTAGCTACTACTGTTTGTACTAAGGAATTGCAATGATGAGTGTAGTGTTGAGGTATTTCGCGGGTTCGAATCCCGTAATTGTGAATTCTATATTGAGCTTGCTAATGTGTGGCTTAGCTGGAGATGAGGGTCCACCTTAACACGTACGCGGCGGCACGTCAAATTCCGGGCGTATCCCCAGTGCGGTGCAGCCCGCAGCGTCAAACAAACCCGATTGCCGCGTGTGACTGGCTTTCCAATTTCGGTCTGACAAATAGCAAATAACGTGCGAGGATGTCCTGCTTTAAGACGAGAGTCAACGTAGTTCGCTAAACACTCACAGATAGCAGCACTGCTTGGAACATAACCGGTCCCATGGGAATTGTATTGCCAAATGGAGGGAAAAAGGCGGGACAAAAAGTAGATTTTTGAGATTGCCAGAGGGAGATTTTCGGGGAAATTTACTACCAACATACACCACAACAAAATACAGTATACTATTGAGCAGTGCTGTGCGAGGTTTCAAGTTTCTAGCTCTAATCCTGGCTTAAAAATAAATCATTTCATACTGCATTGCAGCTTGGGAGCGGACGCACCCACCAGGATGGCATTAGGGTTCCGTGTGGGAGCGATCGCTCCCATGCCGCCGCGAACGTGTTAAACAATGCCCGGCTTAAGTGGATTTTGACGGAATTACTGAGTTAAATAAGGATTGCACACAACACACAACAGCTGTTTTACCTCTTTTTACATTGGTATAGAGGAGGAGGAATCAGATTTTTCTTGTTTGGCTTTTATTTTGGTTGAAAGCACAAAAAATACTTCAAATAACACTCACAAGTCTTGTTAGTAAACAGAATAAGTGTAAATATATTATTACCAGTGTTATTTAAGGTATTTTTTGTGTATTCAGGTAATTTAATATCAAGTAAGATGCTGATAAAGAAAATATTTATTTTGGTGTTGAAAAATAAATATGCTAAGACATAAAAGGACATAACCTAAAAATAAAATATTAATAGAGGAATTTAAACAGTTTTGTTGTCAATGGGTTGAAAATTTTGTGATTCTCCATACAAAATACTTCTGACATGAACACTAATAAAAAAATGGTGAGTTTATCATGACAAACTACAGCTTATTGATCTTTCTCCAACGTTTTACTGTTGTAGGTTGTACAGAATTGCTGCTGCAACACCTCAAGTTTAGAGATATCAAGATTATCTTCTGTAATGGAAAATGGTGCTTTAATACTTAAATAGAATGGATTAATTTAGTGAATTGTTGGGCCATTGGATAGTGCGACGGACTACGAATTCATGACAGCAAAGTCGTGGGTTCACATCCTCGTGCTCACCACACAAGCTTTATCAGTACGGTTCACTCTTGCACTGCACCGGCTCGCCCATTACTTCAGTGGATACGTTACACACAGTCCCAAGGCCTAGTGTATTGGCAAATGCATGGTTAAAAGAAGCTGCCAGCCTCATATTTATTTAAAAAAATATTAGCTATCCCTGATTAAAGGACTTTAAACAAGTGGTTCTGGCTAAAAAATCTGCTGATCTCAGACAGCAACAAAGCTCAACTTGTCCATCCAACACTCATCCTTCAATCATCTTTGCTTAAAACACACATCCTGGTGTGTCAGCTTCATATCTTATCTTATCTTGAACCATTTGTAGAAATGTAATTTTGCCATGGATGTTCTTTGCTAAGTTGCCATAATATTTTACACATCAAAATCATCAAACACATTTTTTATCTAATCCTTTTTTTTAGATCAATTAAATGAAAAAAAATTTCTGCAAGTTCTAAGTTACAAATTATCAAATTATGGAAACTTAATGTGAAAATATGCATGCTTGACAAACTAATTTATCATTTCATGACTCAAAATGTTACATAGATTAAGTATTACGTGTGATCATGGTGAACCATAGGATGCATTTTGTCTGTAGGCAATACAGACGTTAAATGTTATTTTCCTGAGTTAAATGCAGTGCAAAGTTCTCGTCTTGCAAACATGTGGGAGGAAAAGGTTACTAAAGCATTGACTCTGTTTAAGCCATCAACAGTAAAAAACCAAATCAAATGTTTGATAATCCAAAAAAATAGTTGAAGGTCAACTCCCCCCGGTTCTCAGGCATAAAATTAAAAAAATTTCAGATCAAAACTTACCTTTTTAAAATAACAATTATTAGTACCTTACTGGTTTTTATTTTATTTTAAAACATATCCACGCTTGGATGGCGAGGCCAAAAACCTTTTGGGGTTTGAGTGGCCGCGTAGGTAAGGTAAGTACCTTCCTCGACATTAAAAAATATACAAAGACCCTAAACTGTTTAAACCAGAATAGCGGTTAAACCTATAATCATCTCCCTCTCATAGTAAAATTGGGAGCATTTCATGCAATTACATGTTTTATTTTACCACGTGCTACAACCTTTTTAAGGGAACCAACGTAACACTGTTAATAAATGGATATTCAGCATGCAACTGACGATTATTTTAAATCACATGTCTCATACCAAATTCTAGTACAGCTTACAGACTTTTTCCACTCATCAAATTCATTATTCAACTACGATTCAAGATTTCTTCGTTTGACTGGACAAGAAGTAAATTTATGAAACACAACTAATATTTCTGAAGTCTTGGTCTTTAAAAAGGTTGAGGAAGGTTGAGATAACTAACCGAGCTGGGAGGTCAAAAGATTTGACAAGGTGCCGCTGAAACTAGGCTATCATAGGGTACACCCGATTGTTGATGTAAAAGATTTTTTTAGCGAATTTCCCTATAGGGAAGTAGCTATTACCGTAGGTGGCACGGTAAGACCTAGAACCGGGACCGATTTACTTTTTCATTTTGATGTCCCCAGAGGCCAAAAACACCATTCGTTCAAATTTTTATATATGTATATATATATATATGTATATAGATTTATATATATATATATATATATATATATATACGTCCGTGAACGCGATAACTTGAGTAATTTTTGTCCGATTTTGATGAAATTTGGTTTAAAGGTGTAAAGCGGGATAAACTTGAATGAGTTCGCGAACCATCACGATCGGACCATGGGAATGGGGCTTTACGGGGGGTTTTATGGGGTAAAAATTGGTTTTTCTCACTTTTGACCCTCAAAACACAAAATTTCCAGATTTCTCTTTAAACCTTTTTAAAGAGCTTAAAAAAACAAATAATTTAGTATATAAAAGTATTTTTGTTCGATTATTAGTAACGGAGAAAATTAAAAAAATTGTAAATTTAAAATTCCCATGTTATTCTTATGGAGAATATTGTCAAATGTTGTAGTTTGCTTGTTTATGGATATATTTTGATCAAACTTGACAAATTTATTTATTTTGTACTAAGCTATCAAAATTTTACTCAAAAACACACTTTATTAGTTTCCTTGTAGCAGCAAACCTAGGTACTCGTTAAACCTAATGTTATTAAAATATATTTAACTGAAAATCAATTTAGACAAATGGAAATTCGCTTAGTTGGCAGGTTTGCTGCGGCGGGGGTATTTTTATTTTACAGCACAAAGAAAGTTCTATATTTTGGAAGCCCTGTGTGTCCCAGAATTTAAGGTTTAAACCAAAAGAATGGTTTGCAACACCTTACATTTTAGAAAATATGAAGCTAACAGACAGTTTCACCCAGGCCTTTAAAATGCTACGTTTACCACATTGAGTTATGTAAACAGCTGATTTCGCAACATCCTAGTGTGTTCCAGGATAAGATTTGGACAAAAGTAAAATGTAAGAAACATTATAAAAATAAAATGAATATTGTGATGAAGTAAAAAAAAAAACTTAATGGATATCTTTGTGTGAAAATGGGTTGAGATCACAGGATGATAATTTATTCTTTAGCTTCAACTGCACTCAATGTGATCAAACGTATTAAGTAAAAAATTAAATCCGTTAGTTATAAAAAGTGGGGAAAAATGTTATTGCTAGATAGTCAAAATTTGATGAAAATGGGCAAAACAAATTGTAAAACTGGGGTAAAAAAAAACCTATGAAAATCTAAAAAATTCTACACTTAACAACTCATGTTAATAATGTCAAAATCTCTAAAAATATGAGCAAGTTAAAACAAATAACAAGCAAAAACAACACTAGGGGTTACATGCTAAAAATATAGAAAGGAGTAAAATAAAAATGAGCACACCGTTACATCCAATTAGCTATATTTAACCTATAAATCTAAATAAATACACAACTCGTTACAAAAATTACAATATCTTAGAACAAAATACTATGTTAAACGACATAAAATCCTACACATGGAATGTGTTTTTAACTTATGCTAAGAATGTATTGCAACAGATATCCCATGAATCGCAATATACAAAGCATTCACGAATTAAAACATATCACAAATATAAAAAAATAACCTAGACACTGAATATTAAGTTTGTTCGTGCATTTGATTTAAAGCCGTTTTATATGTTTAGCAAGATTACAGTTACTTTAAACATTTAATGTACTTAAACAACTAAACAAAATTAAACTGCTTAAATTAGGCCTACATTGAAAAATGAGTGATTCAGCTAGTTTAGTTTCTAAATAAAATTCAGAAAAACTTTCAAATTTAGTTTTTAAGTAAAATTTATCTACTTTAAAAAACCTTCTATTCAAACTTTTAGTTATATTTTAATTCCCTAAGTTACAGCAATAGGTTTTATTTGCCAAGTCAACAACAAAAAAATACAGTTTTTAAAGCAATCAAAATAAATTATCCTTATGTTAATGCATATTTTATCGAGGACAACAACAAAGCCCTATTTAAAGCCAATGGTTAACAGGAACAATAAAAATGTATGTAATGGGTACAAAAAATAATAAGATGTATGATGAAATGAGGCCAATAATGTTAACAAATTTACACAAAATAAGGCACTTGGATGATATAAGTAAATTGAAACTAAGAAATATATCAAATCTGGTTGGTAGAAATAATTCTGCTTCAAGATTCAAGCAACGATTTTTTTTATGTTTAAAGATAGTATGTTATTTCTAAAGGATATTGTTCTTTTTCCTATTATAGGAGAATACTCTGCTAAATACTGATATAACTCAATAGTTAGTCGGACTTATCATAAGACTAAGCTAATACAATACTTACAATAAAATGTGACAAGGCTAAACAGTAACATTTTGATTGTATAGCAATTTTAAACTGCACAACTACTTTATTGTACGATTGAAAAATATAAATACTGTAAATTCAATACTAAGTTTACTCTCGAGCAGAAATGTGATATGCTATCCTTCCAATCATACCAACCAGGTTTGAAACGGGGCAAAATACACTGAATTGAACGTCGTAACATGCGAGGAAAGAGCAATAATTGCATGCCAACGCAACGATCACAGTCATGCAGCAAGACAGGGGTGCCACTACGCAGCACACAGGGAGCAGGTGCGCCAACTACGCAGTTCACAATTTGTCATAAGGCTGATTGGTGGAAGATCCGACTTCTGCAAAACAGAGAGAAAGTCATGCAAAGCCAAGATTGGACGAGCTAGGTGAATGTTGATTGATAGAGGAATAGTTTGGCTTTAAATTATAAAAATAAAAATAATCTTATCAGTAGCGATTTTAGACTAAAATAACTGTTGCATTGAAAAATATTAATTTTCTTGCATTGTTTTGCAGTTATAAAAATTAAGGGTGTTATGATTTTTAGCAAAATTATTAGTTTTTAAGCCTAATTTAGGCTTTTTAAGGAAAGATTTTATTTTAGATAAAAGAACAAAAGTAAATTTTCCAGAAGACTTTATACAGCTTGTATCATCTTGCGTTTTTTATCAAAAGTACATCACCAACCCAGATTAAATGTCCAAAGCATTGTGACTAAGTGAAATTGTGTATCGAAAGTGCCTACTTGCTGTGTGAATTAGGAAATCAATATACAAAAGATTGAAGATAGAATATTTCGTCATTAGACCCAAAGGAATTTTTTTCGACCTAAGCTCAATTTTAATAGCCGTGGAAAAGATGGTGTCAGAAAATGAGCTAAGCTCAAACACATTTTTCTCTGTGAGATGAACAATATTTTATGTCCTACTGCACCATTGTTAAAGCAAAATAATTTACAAACGGAAATTTCGTACATTGTTTATACCTTTGTAAATTAGTTCCCAGAATGGTTCCTTTTTTGTTTTGATACAAACAGCTGATACTGTTATTTATATGTATTATGTATCACTCCACCAACACAATATTTTACTACCAAAGTTCTTTTACTTTTAAATTTGTCTGAATGTCTAAAAAGTCGTATATTTTCATTTTCAGTTACATATTATACAATACAACAAAATGACACAACAAAGATTTATGGTGATTCAATGTTAATCGGGACTGCTGGGTACAGCTGATGTACTAGACTCCAGTTGATTTTTTTCTCTCTAGAGAAAAGAGTTACTTTAGTCCCGCAACACATGTAGTGAAAAAGCCGTTTTTGCAGCAGTATGACAAAAAAAATATTATTTAAGCTTTACCACACCCTTTACTAAACACTTGTTAAGCTTTTCACTTGGTTCATTAGTGTGTGTTCAAAAAAATATACATTTGCTATTTACAATAAAAAGGTTATGGAAGAAGAAATTAACTACGAAGAAAACCAAACTCCACTAGTTTTATTGAGCTATGTTTGCCAAGATTGAGACAGATAATGTAAATTCTCATTTCCCTTGTTGGGAGATGTAAAACCAGGTCCTATCGCTGATTATTTGAGATTACATTTCAGCTTTGATGAAAATTACCACCTGGAAAGAGGCTGAAACATCACTTCATGCTTAAAAAAAGCTACAAAAGATCAGCAATATGACACGGTTTTACCCCAACACGAATTTTTGTTTTTTTAGAGGTTGGCGGTCACTTAACCTTGCATTTGCCCGTCCACATGGACTAACTGCCTGTGCGTGGAACATCCATGCAAAGCAAGGAGTGAGCTGGTACAATACAAAGGTGAACTGTACTGATAAAAGTTTTCGGCAGTCACCAGGATCCGAACCCACGACATCGCTGCCTTGGGTTTGAAGTCTGTGACTGACAGTGTGATTGTGGAAGCCTTTAGTCTAAATGAAAATGTTGTACGTTTGATGCTGATTTTATGGTTTGTATTGTATCAAAAGAAACTTCAACTGTTATTTATTAATAATTTATTTTTGTAAAAAAAATACAACCGACTTCAAACGCTCTAAAAAGAATGAAATAATTTCAATAAAGTAAACTTTTGTATTAGGCAAGCTCACGTATTTAAAGTCGGCGCGGCTCTATGATGATTTTTGATACAAAATTTAAAGAGGGTGTCCATATTGCAGGTGACTATCTATAACTAAAGGGGTTAATCTGCATGTCCTTTTCATAGTTATGCGTTAAGTGTTATTTTATTACCGTAATCAGAGATCGGCATCATAGTGGTATTAACGAGTATCTTTAAAAATATTATAACGCATTTAAATGTTTCTAACTAAGAAAAGTAACGTTTTAATACTAAACTAGCTTCTTTTCCCTATCACAATATCAAACTAAATTATTTTCCTATTCATATAGAACATTTGTGTGTGTTATTTTCATGATGCATTTATTCTGAAGTAAACATAAAATACAAGAAAATATTTCCTTTAATATATAAACAAAACAATTCAGAATTTTTTTTTACATATTTATGTTATCCAGCTACAATTTATTGATTTTCAAAATACACACACAATATTTAATTTCAATCATATTTGCAGTTTGAGCCACGCCGACTTGAAATACGTAAGCTTGCCTAATACAAAAGTTTACTTTATTGAAATTATTTCATTCTTTTTAGAGCGTTTGAAGTCGGTTGTATTTTTTTTACAAAAATAAATTATTTCATTATTTTTAGTGACTATAATTTTTTATGTATTAATTACTTGAGGTTTTTTGATAAGCAAAACTGTTTGAAACAATCAAAAGCTCCACAGAACAATCATTATTTTAAAACTGCTTGAGGCACCTGTTCAGGTTACATAATCAATGGGTATGAAAATAAACATTTTGAGATATTCCTTAAGAAAGAAAGAGTTGTCCATTACATTAGGCCTAATGAAAAACTAATTGTCTTTTCTAGATACATTGAAATGTCAGACATCATCGTTTCCTGCAATCAGTGTACTTCTACATTATAAAAATAAATACAGTAACGTCTCAAGCCTTTTGGAACAATATGAAAGTTATTCCTCAGCTACCAGCACTAAAAAATCTCTCAAAAGTGGAAAATTGGTCGTTAACACGTATAGTACCTTTGGAAAATATTATATGAAAGATTGGTTCGGCTAAAAGTGGTGCAAGCCATGTAGGTGGTTTTGTTTGATCAAGATATAGCCTAGTCGAAATTGCAAATCATCTTCATAATAGGCATAATAGTAATGATAAGATATAGTAACTGGGTAGAGAATATCAATAAACATTCCACATCTGCAAATGCATGTTTAGTAATTAAAATATTTTACATTTTTAAGACAATTGACGACTATGCACTGTCACACTTTTTAGGTCGTGTACGTGTAAGGAATAATTGCATTTAATTTATATTTAGAACTGTTTTACGAATGCTTTGGTTTTCACAATACACCTTTATTTGTCAATATCATACAGCTATTCACTGAAACATATGTTTTTGTAAGTCAGAATATTCAATAGGTACTAAAAACAGAATTACTGTATACACAAATCAGGTCAAACGTTAAAATACATTTTTTATAGTAACCAAAACAAAATGCATTTTTCTCAATGTAATTCATTAAGGCTCCATGGCAAGAAATAGTTTATTGATCAATATGAAGCAACTGTTTCATGAATAATTGTCTGTAGCTTCATTTAAATGGTTTCAACTTACAGCTGTAGGAATGTTATTATTATTTATTGCCTTCTCTGCACAAATGTAAACAATCTGAACAAATGTAAACAAAATAAGTGTTGAATATTTAAGGTTTTAAGAATTTTTCACCGAAACAAATTTTATACTTAAAGATAATATATAAGGTACCAAATAGAAACTCTCCTGGTTATTTTGGTGGTGGAACCACACTGATCGGTAAAAGAATCACAGAGAAATTGGTGAACATACATAGAAAAAAAAAAACATCGCCACAAACAAATTGAGAACCTCCTCCTTTTGTTGGTAGTGGGGAAGTCGGTTAAAAATGTCAGTTCTGGATAACTCAACAACCCCTAAACTCAACAACCTCTGGGTCCACAAATTGGCGATTTAGTGAAGATTTACTGAACACCAGGATTGAACACTACACCTACAGAATCAGTGTTCAATTAATGTTTCATCTAATCACGAGAAGCGAGCTGGTCTAGTTGTAGAGTGTAGGGCTTCGGTCCCCGAAGTCCTGTGTTCAAATCCCGCCAATGTATTTTTCCTATGTGATAGGACCCAATCTTCTGGGCCTAGCCTCATGTAATGTGTAGCCTATGACGGTTCTGAGCTAAAACCTAGCCACCTTGGATGTTAAAGTGGGACAACTAAGAAAAGTATTTGATCAAATTACTTACCAGAGCTGTATTGCGTATACTGCTGGTATTGAGGGTGGAAGTTATGGATGGCATCCGTCATTATGTCTTTTGGATTCATCGTCTCCTGAAATACAAAAGAACAACTGTTTACAGGGTGTCTAGTTTATTTCCATTATAAAATTCAAGACTTATTCCAGACTTTTCAAGACTAATTCCAGATTTTTCAAGACTAGTTTTTTCAACAATTAGTGGGTGTTGATACCAAAATGTATCGATTCTCAATTCTTGATACCGATACCAATTTTTATAGCTTAACCAAATTTTCTAAATAATACTACACCCTGTCTTTGTCATAAAGTAGTATTATGATAATGTGGTGTTTTCAAGTAAAGAAATAATGCAGCAATAAAAAATTCTAACTAGCAAATTTGGTTTTTTTTATCATGAAATCTTCCACATACCGTACGTTTAGACATCATCATTGACTGCAGCGGTTACAGAAACGTGATCGTCGTCGTCCGCGATCACGGCAAAATCATGGACATTTCCCGCGGCCGTGTAGACATCGTCGTCTCCCGCGGTCATGGAAACGTCATCGTCATCTCCCACAGTCACGGAAACGTCATCGTCATCTCCCGCGGTCACGGAAACGTCATCGTCGTCGTCCGCGATCGTGACAAAATCATGAACATATCCCGCGGCCGAGCAGATATCATCGTCGTCTCCCGCGGTCACGGAAACGTCATCGTCATCTCCCGCGGTCACGGAAACGTCATCGTCATCTCCCGCGGTCACGGAAACGTCATCGTCATCTCCCGCGGTCACGGAAACGTCATCGTCATTTCCCGCGGCCGAGCAGATATCATCGTCGTCTCCCGCGGTCAAGGAAACGTCATCGTCATCTCCCGCGGTCACGGAAACGTCATTGTCGTCGTCCGCGATCGCGGCAAAATCATGAACATTTCCCGCGGCTGTTTATACATCACCGTCATCTCCCGCGGTCACGGAAACGTTATCGTCGTCTTCCGCGATCACGGCAAAATCATGGAACATTTCCCGCGGCCGTGTAGACCTCATCGTCGTCTCCCGCGGTCACGGAAACGTCATCGTCGTCTCCCGCGGTCACGGAAACGTCATCGTCGTCTCCCGCGGTCACGGAAACGTCATCGTCGTCTCCCGCGGTCACGGAAACGTCATCGTCGTCTCCCGCGGTCACGGAAACGTCATCGTCGTTTCCCGCGGTCACGGAAACGTCATCGTCATCTCCCGCGGTCACGGAAACGTCATCGTCGTCGTCCGCGATCGTGGCAAAATCATGAACATTTCCCGCGGCTGTTTAGACATCACCGTCATCTCCCGCGGTCACGGAAACGTTATCGTCGTCGTCCGCGATCACGGCAAAATCATGAACATTTCCCGCGGCCGTGTAGACATCATTGTCGTCTCCTGAGGTCACGGAAACATCATCATCATCTCCCGCGGTCGCGGAAACGTCATCGTCGTCTCCCGCGGTCTCGGAAACGTCATCGTCGTCTCCCGCGGCCACGGTAACGTCATCGTCGTCGTCCACTATCACGGCAAAATCGTGAACGTTTCCCGAGGCCGTGTAGACATCATCATTATTGGCTTTCGCGGTTACGTAAACGCAAGACGACGATCGCGGCAAAATCATGAAAATTCCCGACTTCGAAATAAAATTTAAGACTAAATCCCGACTTTTCAAGACCATTTTGAAATTCAATACTAATTCCCGACTTTCCCGATTTTCCCGACTACTAGACACCCTGTGTTTAGTTTGGAAACAACGGAAGGGAACTCTTTATATTCACTAACTGTTTCATACATTTTCAAAGACAGTGTGATGGTTGATGGGGACTACCAATTAAGCTTGAGAAAACAAAAGGACACAGAAAGAAACTTTCTGATTAGATACAACGCACACATCGTCAGGAACTGTTCGACCGTGTAAACGCTTACAGCCAAAATAAATTTTTAAATAGATTTCTTCCTGTGTCTTGTCAAGTGCAGCATTAGTGTCAGAACTATCTGAGTTGTTCCCGAGTCGGCTCAAGTGAAGCCAACACACAGAAAATATCTGCAAAGATACAAATGTAAAAATAACCAAGGGCATCTAAATACTATACAACCGCATATCAATCAATATATAGCCCATTCCATGGAAGATGTTCTTGATCTTGCTATTACTAGGGGGTGCAACTAAGAGAGAACAACTCCCCTGCAAAAGACGTTCACGATTTTGCCGTAGTTGTGGAGGACGTTCACTATGTTGCCACGACTGCAGAAGACTTTCGGGACAACATTTTAGACCCGACATTACCCTACCTGAAGATAAAAAGCCTGCTAATAACCAACACACATTTGTATTCTATAACTCCTTCAGATTATACGGCAAAAAACCTCTAAGGTACCTTCAAGCTGGAGGAGATGCTCTGCATGGTGACACTGCGGCCAGAAGCATCAGTGATGCAGCCTGTGGCATACACCCTGTAGGGGAAAGCAGCTCGGAGTGCGAGGGCAGCAAACAGCATCTCAATACAGATGAGGAAGTTCTGGTAGCCGGCAGACACAGTACCAGCACTGGTTGGGGTCCCGTAGCTGTCCACCACTGGCTCTATCACACCAGCCTTCTCTAGCACAGCCAATAGTGTACCTGGGACACAATTAGCTACAATTAGTCCATGAACCATGACTAGAAGAAGTTAACAATTTTGCCTCGACCGCGGAAGACATTCACCATTTCGCCAAGACTACAGAAGACCTCATGATTTCACCATGGCCGCAAAAGATATTTACAATGTTGGAATCTTGTGTGACAGCATGATATAATAACAATTTCACCATGATAAAGGGCACATCATGTACAATATTATGTATAAACTGGTTTTAGTATTACAATTAATCATTTTTTTAATTGCTACTTTCCAAAAAGCACTCAATTCTGTCCCAAGAAGGGTAAAACTTTTGATCCGACCCGACCTGAAGTATAAAAGTGTGGCCTACAGACCCCTACAATAAAAAGCTTACGTAACAAGACAAATCTTCACATTTACCTTGCCAAAAAGAGAGGAAGATGACCGACTTGATGGTGCAGAACTTGAGCACAGGTTCAAACGGGGTTAGCAGTTCTCGAGTTGCGAAATAGAAGAGGTAGAGACCATACAGAGCCAGACTGACGGAGAAGTTGTATATGATGGTGACATAGAGGTAGCCACCGTCCAAGCTGCAGAACAAACAAGGTAAATAAGATGAGGAAAAGTAAGGGGCAAGTTAGTAGAGTTCATAAGGAAAGATTTGGACTTTTCTTAATGCTAAGTGTTTTTAACTAATCTACGTTTCAAGAGGTTTTAAGTAAGCCTATCTCCTAACTCTACATTTAGCTACCTAATGAATATTCCTAACATTATTAGGTAGCTAGATGAAGTGTTAGGATATGCGCAAGGCTTTAAGCAGCTATCACTTATCATTATTGTATATGCTGCATACAACACACAACACAGTTAATCAACATTTATACAAGCATCTCCACCTGATATCTTAGTAAATTAAAACTTGTAACTAAAAGCAAATTATCAAGCAAATGGATGTTTTGACTTGTGATTATGTGTTAAAATTGGGAAAACCATAATGGTTTCAATGGGAGACAAACTAAAAGCCTTGGAATAACTTTTGTAGGGACATAATTTCATGAAGTTTAACATATTCCTACATTTTTATTTGGAGGGGAGCGAAATGGTCTAGTCCTTGAGGTCCTGGGTTCAAATCCTGCCAAACACCAATGGATTTTATCAAAGTAATAATACCACGACCCTCTAGGCCTAACTTTAAGTGGTTCCAGGCTATAGCCTAGCGTCCTAGAATGTAAATGTGGGCCATGGGAAAAATAATGGTTAATTTTTGTGTTACCTCGACCTTTTGTTTATCCGACTTAATCGAAGCCAGTTTAGGATAAGTCCGAACTTTACTTTATCACATGTCAACTAACCTCCAATCACCGTCGTGGTAGTGCCCGAAGGACTGCAGTACAATGATGACAAACGCCATGACCGGCTTGACCAGACAGAACTGAAGAGTGGCTTGCTTGCAGAACCTGAGGAACCCGATGGTGTAGGTCTTACCTCCCAGACAACACGTTCCATACACGCAGTTGGACCTGAACAGAGAAAACAGTTTGATCAAAATATATCCATAAACAAGCCAACTACAACAGTTTACAATTTCTCCATAAGAATAACATGGGAATTTTAAATTAACAATTTTTTAAATTTTTTCCCTAACCAATCATCGTACAAAAACACTTGGATATACTAAATTATTTGCTTTTTTAAGCTCTTTAAAAAGGTCTGGAGAAAAATTTATAAATTCTGTGTTTTAAGGGTAAAAAATGAGAAAAACTGTTTTACATCTGGCAAAAGTGTCAGATTAACATGAAACCCTTAAACTAGATGCAAACCAATGTTGAGGATAGAATTCAAAATTATTATAATGGAAGAAGTGTCTAATCCCATAATAATCTCCTGACTTTCCTAGGTATTTACATTTTTGAATGTCTCTTTTTTACAAAAAGTTTTAAAAATTTTAGAAACCTTAAGAAAATCTCTAAAAATCAATTTATGTAATTGACAAAAGTATTTCAGTATTTCAGATCACCTTAAGAATGGCAGTTAATTTTTTTTATTAGTTAGTTGTAAAATTCATATGTCATATAATTTATTTTTTTCTTAAAGTTTTGTTTAGTTTTTTTTATCACATTGTCTGATGTTTATCGCTGTAATGTAAAATAATTTTCCTGACAATAAAGAAATGATTTCTTCTGTAAAGTTTTATAAGTTTATTCTACTATGGAAAAATTCTCACCAAATAAAATCGCCAGGGAAAGATATTGTTGCAAGTTAAAGTACTTGAGAGAGTGAGAAGAGCAGTAAAAGTTTGCACAAACCTGATTGGCTTGCCTCGTATCTCGCTCATAATATTGCCTTCTCCTCCGAGATACTCGTAGCACAGACTGAGGAAGTTGTAGATCACAAAAGCTGTAACAACCAAACTCGTCAAAACCATTCTTATTTTTAATTTTAATTTTCTATTTAGGCCTACTTTTTGTTTGTGTATGTCTATGTCTGAGGTATTTTTTAATGTTTTTGTACGGAAACGGTCCAATCCCTGTTCTTGTTAGTATCTGATGTTGAACTTTTGTTAGATCTTGTTTGGAATCGAACCAGCGGCCTTCAGATTTAAAGGCAACCTTTCGGCTACCCAGACACCTAGTTAATATAAGATTGCAAATCTTATGTCTTTTGGTCAACAAATGTATTTTTCCAGAATCAAAAACGTTACTGTAATTAAATACAGGATGAAATTGAAACCCCGCAATTAAACTTAAGGACACATCATAAATAATTACAACATTAATAACTGAACAAGATATTTAATATATGCCCAAGCAGACCCATTTATGCAGGGATACACAAATTCTTACATTTTTAACGAACACATACATTTCAGACCAAGACATTTTTCTTTTGCAAATTTTAAAATGTAAAAATATTCTATTAATGCTATATTTTTTTTCTAATATGAATATAAATGGATTGTAAGTGTAGGTAATAATGTAGATTGTAACGTCTAAATGTAAGTGAATGAAGTGTGTGAAAGATTATGAAAGTAAACATGTACTTCATTGTATAGTTAAACAAATATTTTAACTAACAAAAATTGTTCAAGTATAATTACAATTCATCCTAACCTCTTTATGTAATTTAAGCCATTGAACTGAAGATTTCTACTGAAAACCGTGGCTTCTTCCCATTTAAACGTCACTTATGATGTTGAAGCCATTTCCCCTCCAGTACAACAGTCAATGGGCCGTGACAGATTTACAATGGCAGTTATGGATTTCAGAAGAATGGTTCATTAACGTTTGAGGTGATCATATCCTTGAGAACAATTCAACTCTCGAGAGATTACAAAAGTCCACTTTCACGGTTGACAGACCACACCAGACATGGGCTTAAATTAACACAGCATGGTGGTTTATGGCTTGGTTTGGTGGGGAGCGAGCTGGACTAGTGGAGGTGCGCAGAGCTTTGATCCTTGAGGTACTGGGTTCAAATCCCACCAATGGATTTTATCTATGCAATAATGCCACAACCCTTCAGTCTTAGCTTGTGGTAATGAATCAAACGGTTACGAGCTAGCCCAGCATTCTATGTTAACCCATTGGAGAAGGAATTAATGTGCTGCCTTCAGTGCCCAAAGTCAGCAATTAATTTTACTGAATTTGTAGATTTTTACTCTAATTGTTATAGAAAGAAAACCGTATGAGAAACGTTCGTAAGTCGGCGCCAATGGGTTAAGGTATGAAATGAGAAAATAATGCCATAGGAGTGTAGCCTCAGACTTACAAAAGTATTAGTCAAGTAACAAATATTCACAATACCTTCATAGCAGTCTCGTACAGTGAAGAAGTAAACGTAGTAACTCTCGCTGTTGAAGAACAACAAACTGACCCACGAGTGCAGGCCGTAGATGGGGACAATGAAGAGAATCCTGATGATCCATCTCTGCTCCGAAGGGTTGGTGTACCAACGCAGATGTCTGTATATCTGCAACAAGATATCAGCTGATTAGTTGGTTTAGTATAAGATTAGACTTAGGAACAATCTGAACGCCTTTTATGCGACTTCCCACTTCTGCGTTTGTCGGTTGATTATTTGTACAAACATAACCTTACTTCACCTAACCTGACCTGACTCAGTGAGCGACAGACAACAGCTCGGTTTGCCATTTCATTATTTGTACTAACCTAACCTAATCTGAGATTACCTAGCCTAACCTGGCCAGACATGAAGTGACTCAGTGTGTGAATCACTATCTCCAAAAGTCAGTGACTTTGTTTGGTGAGCTAGAATTTAACGTTCAGTAAAAAGGAGTTTTTCAGTGAGAATTAGGCCTACGTTTTAAAATAAAAAATTATTTCAACAATGTACGACCTGTGGTGAACAACCTCTAATTATTAGATTTCCAACACCGTAGGTAGTATAGTATTTTGATAGTGTTTAATTAATTTTTTTACAATACCAGCAAACACAAAAAAAGCCAATTGAGCTGGAAAATATTTCTAAGTGTGTATTAAAATTGTAACAGGTCATCTAGTAAAAAGAAGAATCATCCAAATGATTTATATAGCTTGCCTTCTTATTTGAATGTAGATGGTTTAATACCAATCGGGATCAATTCTAGACCAAGATGCCATTATTTGTCATAGAGTTATTTAAAAGGTGAACATAAGTTCAATATCAGGTTTTACACAGATGATACAGTTTCTGATTTTATACGGTTTCCTTACATAAAATCATTGAAAATTCAATGGTGTGAAAAACACAAAATATATTTTTTAATAACAAAAACTGAAAATTGAATGTAGTAGGTAATGTTATTTATAATAAATTTTACAATAAAAATAAAAAGCTTACACTCGAGAAAAATACTAAATTTAGCTAACTTCTGTCACAATATTTCTCGAAGTTGGAATTGCATGCGAAATGAGTCCTCATCCCAGGACAAAAGTTGATTAAGTTTTTTCAAAGCATGAAAGTTATTCCGGCAAAAAGCTTAAACACGGAACGTAACAATAAGGTAAGAGGGGTTATATTCTATTACTCCCCGGAGTGACTAAATTAGGTTAACGTTTGTTTAATCATACGTCTCTTCACTTAACCCTGTTATTTAACCGCCAGTATTTATGCTGGAAATGGAATGTGATAAGGGTTTTTCTCGAGGAGTGGATAATTTTAATGAGGCACTCAACTAAAGTGAGATAATCACCGAGCAGGACCTCTCGGCAAACTTTGAAGACTAGTTATTTTTTAGTGCTAAAAGGAAATTTTTACACTTTTATGAAGGGTTTTTTGTGTTACTACTATAGCTAGGGAGTGTGGTTGCAGTATATACAGTAACACCAGATGAGGGAATGTGTTTATTTTTCAAAATCAGATATATTTGATTTAACGAATGTAAAATAGCATGTATCTCCTAGAAAATGGTTAAAAAAGAAATAGCAAAATTTATGGTTTGAGGGGAAAAAACAGAAAAAAAATATTTTTACCTCCATAAAACTCTGTTCCCATCCATAGTACCGATCTAACTGGTTTGTGAAATCGTTAGAATAGTTAGAAGTAGTTTTAGACAATTTTTAATTTCATTGAAATCAGAAGATTTGTCTCAGAGTTATCGAACTAACAGACACATATAAACAAATTTGATAAAAGGAAGGTATTTTAAGCCTCCATAGTCATCAAAACATAAAAGTAAATTGTTCCCGGGTCCAGGTCTTGGAGCGTATTTGGTCGGAGACCAAATAGCTTATTCCTTTATAGGAAATTTGCTAAAATACCGTATCCTTCATTGCATAGTTTTTAGTCTAGTTACACTGAATAGTATTAAGAAGATAATATGACTAAAACTCTTTAATATCCCTAGTATAACAATAATCCACATCTTGAGAAACACATCAGCCTTACAGAAACACAAATTCAAAAATAATGAAAACCTTAAAGTTTTATCCATATTGATCTCCAACATAAAACACTATTTAATCGCTAAAATCCTTTCCATACAACCTCTTTAAAGCAAAAATTAGTCTAGTCATCATAACATTAATTGAAGAAGAAATAAATTATAGAGGTAAATTTGATTTTAAGTTCAAAATCAATAAAAGAAAACATTTATTAAAGAACCAATTTGATTAATCATAGCTTTTTTTTACTGCTAATCAAGAACAGACATAAATGTACTTGAGGCTAAACAAGAGTGATGAATAAAAACCAGTTGATTAAATGTTTGATGAAGTGAGTTGTGCAGCGATGTTGAACTTGGGAATCTTCAGATCTTCGTCATTCTCTCTCTAAATATTACGAGAAATATTATCTCTTGCTTATAAAATTAGGACAGCAAGAAACTTTGTAGTAAAGTTTAAATATGAGCATAGTTCTGATTAGCTTAAGCAAAGTTTATTTTAGCCACAGCATAGAGATTTAAAATACTTCTTTCCAATTTTCAAAACTGATAAACAATTAGTTTCAAATTGGGAATTTTACAAAAGGGAATAGTATTGATCTTTAAATTTATAGTTGTAAAACAATAACAATTTGTATCCCTTCTATGTTCTAGAATCGTTTCCCACATTACTTCAGGCTAGCTTAATAGGGGTTAATGCATTAGATCACTAGCATAAAATCCATTGGGGGTTTGCAGGATTTAAAACCGGTGAGCTCAGGGACCAAAGTCCTGCGCTTTAACACTAGACCAGCTCGCTAACCCAGAAAACAATTAGAGTACCATCAATAGAACCAATTTTACTATAAAGTATTATGATTAATTTAAATGAACTGATGGTGGAATTATAGAAACGACCTTTTAAAAGTGTCATTAACTTAAATTTATATTTACTACCGAAAGTATCATTGACAACTGACAACTGACAATTCTTTATTGCACATAACATCTGTTACAATTATTACAAACGTAATACACAGACAGGTACGTTATGAATGTTTCATTTTTAAACTTACAATGTAATATTTTGCTTGAATTGTTTTATTTTAAAATTTAATAATGGTCTAAGACTGAGTACTGAGTCAAATTATCAAAAGCACAATATGAAAGTCCTCTGAACAGTAGCAATCTTTATGTGACATTTTATCTAAATTGGTCCAAAGGTTTCCGTGTGACGAAAGGCAGAGGCATTATTTTTTTAAATTACCTATGTATGTAGATTGATCACATTTCTACAAAAATATACCAAATTACTATTCCGCTTTAAATAAATACTGAACAATTAGTCAAAATTCAACGACACTTTCTACGGAAACACAGTTCCAATATTTATGCAGCAAGAACTAGACGGCCGACCCATACTATCAATAATGCAAAGGCAAAGGGTGTTATAACTCTTTGGCACAAATCCTCAAAAACACATAACTCAGTTTCTTATCGAGGATCAGTGACAAGGATTTCCAGACGGATAAAAAATATTTTTTGAATCTTGTTAAATTTTGAACCCATTTAGGATAATATACGTTAATGTAGGTAGTTTAAAATACCATTGACGTTTGAATCCTAAAGGACAAATTGAAATTCCATCTATATGGATCAGCTGTCGCCTATCAATCAAATCGGACACAGTTTAATAAGCCACTCAGAAAGCACATAAGTTTAAACTTTTTTCACTTTTAGATTGAGTTACCAAGATGTAGCTGATATTAAGTAAAAGTTACATTGACTTACTAAAATTATATTAATCAGAACAATATTGTACAACAGCAGTTAATTTACATCAGAGATCTGTTGTTGGCAAAATGATCTGAACAACTAGCTTCATCTTCAACATGGAGATGTAAAGTATACTTCACAGTACCAGTAACACAATAAAAAAGTACAACAAATTAAATTTTAAAAAAGTAATAAACATTGGATTAAAACTGTAGGCCCTATTCTTTTAATTGTCTTACTAAATATTACTGTTCATTAAAAAAAATTAAAAGCAAAATGCATATACATATATTTTTTAATGAATCAAAGTTCACCAGAATAAATTACCAGTAAAATGTCTCATTTTTTTAGGCTAAAATGATTAAACTAATGTATTCTTATTTGTATTTCAACTCAGACATTTTATAGTTTTTTTTTAGTCAGCAGTCCAAATGCTGATTGCCATTTAATACAGTACTATCTAAACTTTTTAGACAGCATCATTAATTCATAGCCCATATGATAAACTACACAATATTAGGAATCGAGATCGAACTAGGAAATTACGTTGTGTCTTATCCATCAACCATAGAGACGATCTACATTACAATCAGAGTATGGTAACAACGACCGATTGCACGATATTGTGTTCCGCCTCGCGTATCAAGACAGGATGACCAAAGAGTTCGCGACTGACTGGATATGGGTGAAAGCTGAAATCAGAGGAAACAGAGAGAGGTTGTATGTGTGTAGGCCTTTACAGGTGACAGATAACAGGGGATTAGTAACCAGCTTGCCATGTTAAACTGTCAGCTGATAACAAGTCGGCGGAGTTTGCAACAAAACCCACTGTGTCTGCGAATATGACTTTTAGCTTTAGCATTGTTGGAGTTTCATTAAATTCATGGAATTTCTTCCATTTTTACCACTATATAAGGTGTAACAATACATACTGGTAATGTACGGTTTGTTTAGGCTTTGACTCGTTTCCAACATACTTGTATAACCTAACCGTTAACACAATTTGTAGCCAATTAAACATTCAACCTGTAAACTATATGCTTAATGTAAAGATTCAAAGTTTTTCAGTAAAGTTAAGTAAACAGTAAGAAAGAGAAAGACTGGAAAGTCACCATAACAAAGTCGTGTTAGCATTGTAAATTTATCATCTAACTCATTTACCTTCGTACTTCATCTTCAACATTCAAACGCATTATATCCTTGGTCTCGATGTGAACTATTTTGTAATTTTGAAAATACCAAAAATTCAATTGGTATTATAGTTGAATACCTCTGTTGCAGCAAATGTGCAGACTAAATAAATGTATTTTTTGTATTTCCATTTGGATTTTTA